CCCTCACCTAGCAATTTTCTCACACAATTAAAAATTGTAATAATGTTTGCTGCTTTTAATAGCCTGTACCCTTGGCAATTTTTCTAGAGACGCCCATGCGAACATACACATTTTAGTATTTTGTGAAGTGTTATCCAAATTTGTTTTTTTATTTTATCATTTACGATGACCATTATCAACAGTCACTTATGTAAACCACTATAAAGATTAGACAGTTACTTATGTAATAATAGATAATAAAAAAATTGTCTGGCGGTGACAATTTATTAATAACTGCTCAGTCAAAGCTCAAGCAACTCGATTACTTACCTTGTTATGAAGGATATAATATTTTATTATCAAGAATAATGAGATCGTTGTTTACATTGTCTAAAATCAGACTAGACTAGATTAACATTAATTACATTAAACAATTTTTGTAATATTATTTGTATTAAAAATTTTAATTTATATTAAAATAGCATCTACGATGTTCTAAATAAATCTGATTCTCTTTAGATTTAATATTCGGTTCACCACAAATACTCCAGTAAGCAGAGGCGGATTGGCTATGCGGGAACTCGGGAGGTTTCCCGATGGGCCGATTTTTAATGAAAAAAAAAATTAAAAAAAATTTGAAAAACAAAAATTGGACAAAATTTTGAGTAATAAATTCGAAAAAAAATCAAGGAAAAAAATTTGGAAAGAAATGAAAAAAAAAAGTATATATTACACACCTAGGGCAGTAAAATAAGAAATGTCGACCTCACCTTGGCCGACAATTACATGTGATCTGAGGCTTTCTTTTTTACTTTCCGAGGTGTGTGTACAATTTTTTTGCTCGATGGCGCCGGAAAGGATCAATTTTGTTTAGCGCAGCGGCACAACCAACCAACCGCAACTTTCGGGCCGGTTGGTACTTTGCGGCCGGAGACCAAAAAACGATTTTTCAATNGATTTATAACCCCCTCACCCCCTATTAACCCCCTCACCTAGCAATTTTCTCACACAATTAAAAATTGTAATAATGTTTGCTGCTTTTAATAGCCTGTACCCTTGGCAATTTTTCTAGAGACGCCCATGCGAACATACACATTTTAGTATTTTGTGAAGTGTTATCCAAATTTGTTTTTTTATTTTATCATTTACGATGACCATTATCAACAGTCACTTATGTAAACCACTATAAAGATTAGACAGTTACTTATGTAATAATAGATAATAAAAAAATTGTCTGGCGGTGACAATTTATTAATAACTGCTCAGTCAAAGCTCAAGCAACTCGATTACTTACCTTGTTATGAAGGATATAATATTTTATTATCAAGAATAATGAGATCGTTGTTTACATTGTCTAAAATCAGACTAGACTAGATTAACATTAATTACATTAAACAGTTTTTGTAATATTATTTGTATTAAAAATTTTATTTTATATTAAAATAGCATCTGCGATGTTCTAAATAAATTTGTTTCTCTATAGATTTAATATTTGGTTCACCACAAATACTTCAGTAAGTCAAAATATTTCTATTACCAGCATGTAATATGTAAATAAAAGTAACTAAAAAGGATATACAACTAGAATATGAATCGAATCTAAAGAATGATATTTCCAATGAAAGATTAAGATCTTGACATATTCTATCCAGTAAACTGGACTAATTTAAATCAGGACCAGTAAATTAGTTAACACAACAGACTAAATATCACGGCTTGCTTAAAAAACATTAGCTATCAAAAATCAGTAGAGCATATTAAGCCCCATTTAGAGTGGGAATGCAAATAGAATGTAACCTGGAAATGTTATATTATTTCACATATTATAATTTATGGTCAATTTAATTCAGAATGAACTGTTAATTATTTTCTGAGAAAGAATAGTAACAGACATCAGTAACGCAATCATTGACGGAGTCAATATTGCCTTCAATAATACGGAGTTACTAAATTACCTAAATATACATTATGTTTTAATTTCCTGCAATATAAAGTCTAACTTCCAAACAAGGAAACTGTAACGTAGGTAGCGACCATGTTTTTCTGAATCATACATGTCGGCGATATAGCCCAGTTACTGTAGCTGAAAATATAGTAATACCTCCGAATTTTTTATAACTGCATCGATTTTTCTCAAAATTTAGAATTAGGCTCATCTTACCCCCCACTTCAAAACTTATATATGCGCTGGGTGTGCTTTTTGTTCTTAATTGGAAAAAAAGAAATAGAATAGAAAGAAAAAATACAAATTTAAGCATTTTATGTAATCAAATCTTTTTTATTTGTGTAGTATGAGTAATTTCATGTGATATCTAACATGAAACTTAATGTAAGTATACCAAATTTTCAACCAGGAAAAACCTTTAGACCACCCCTTTGGATGAAAATAATATAAAAAAAATTTTTCAACTTGAAACATTTTAATCATGCATTTTTGTCAAATTAAAATTGATTTCTTGATTAAAATTTTTTTTTATCGATTGCAACTTTTCAACCCTTGAAAAATACCCCTTATTTCGAAAATAAAGTGAACAAATATTATTGAAAGAGTAGAAACATTTTAAATGTGCATTCGTATTAAATAAACATTTACTCCCTTATTATGACATAGTAGTTATAATATAGTATAGTACTGGTTTATTCGAATATACACATACTAAATACGTAAGATCCACTACTTATTTGTGGAAGGGCGAAATGGGCGGTGACTATTAGACGCCTACATTATAGCCATCTTTCTCTATCGCACGGATTTCTATGACTTACTTTATCGCTCTCACGTAACGGCCGATGAACCACGGGGACTTTCCGATCCTGTATATACAAAAAAGATCTAAGTAAATGCTTCAAAATTGTTGTTTGTCCTAAATTTTCCTAAAATTATCACCTATACATGTGTTTATTTTTTTGATGATAACTTTCTTACTTTTTAAGATTTTTAATCGCACAAAGGCTTATTGTGCAGGGAATTTTTTAAGCCCTTCATTTTTAAGTTTGAAGGGTTCAAAGGGCTCGAAAAGGGTGGTTCTCTCATTAACTTAAAATGGCGATATCTCGTCTCGATTAATATTAATTTTAGAGGAATAAAAAAATAAAGCAAAATCTTCTGAAAAAATAAAGCTAAATTTTTTTACACCTGTATTTTATTCGTACACCTTTTAATTTTTAAGTTACAGCGTAAAAATCGATTTTTTTTCAAAAATTTGAAAAATTAACATTTTCAAATATTAAGTTTTTTTCGAAATCATGCTTTGTAAGTGAGCCAGAGACCCAGAACATATTCTTAGAACATAAATGAAGAAATCTGTAAATGGATTGCATTTAATTTTAATTCTGTCGCCAAAGGCACTGACTTGTTTATTCATTTTTTCTTTAAAAAAATGAGACTATCATGTTATTTCGATCATATTTCCGTTAATTTGAATTCTAAAGACTTTTAAAACAGCTCATTTTAAAGGGTTTTCAAAGTACTTTAAGAAATCTGCAAATAGTTTTTTTCCTAAAATTTATGGTTTTGGCGTTATTTAACGTTAATTTTGAGTGCACACTTTCCCTATCGAATATGTTCGATTTACAAGTTAGTTCGCACCGAATTTGGCGAGAATGCAAATTTTCTTGCACTGACGAAATAGTCAGTTCAATAGTGCAGTGCAAGTTAAAAATAGCGGTAGTAGAAGATTTTTTAAATATGATGCTTCTAGATTCTATATAATGTATTTTCTTCTTCAGAGAGTTCATCTGAAGAAGAATATGTTATTAATAATTCTAGAGAGCATATAAAAGTAAACAATTTTACGGAATTAGTTGTACACCAATATCCGGAAGATGCATTAAATAAATAATTAAACTTACTTAATTACTGTTTGTACCAATTGGTTTTGTTTTTAGTTAAAAGTTAGTTAGATTCAATAGGGAAACTATACATTTTAATTGATGATTTTGAAAAATCAGTGTTTTACCCAAATAACTATAAGAGAAGAGACTATATCAGCTGAAAAGCACATATTCTTGCATTTTTATGGTAGTATACAAATTTCTACATATATTACTTACAAATATACTACTTAAAGAGTAATGAATTACTTGGTAGAGAGAGCTCCTCAAATAGTAAGATTTCCACAAGTGAACATGAATTAGACAATGCTTCAGCAGAATTTGAAGAAGTACGTACTTACAATTTACTAAATTTTTAGACATTTGAATAGGCGGTATAAGGTGTTTTCTATAGATTTCAGGTTTTCCGAATGTCATCGGATGTATAGATGGATATTATATCAATATAAGAACACCAGCTCACAAGTCAAAGGTGACCTATGTTAATAGGCATCATATGACTGCACTAACTTTGCAAGGAATTTGCGACAGGAAAAAGAAGTTCATTGATGTATTCACTGGAATTTCTAGCGAACTTCATGATTCAAGGTTTTTTTTCTTTATTCTTTATAAAGGAAGTTTTAAAACACATATGCAGAGACACTTACCATCTCCTTGGTGACTCTGCATATCCATTTTCTCCATATTTATTAACTCCATTTACAGATTATGGAAATTTAAATGGACATCAAATAAATTTCAACAGAAAGCATTCAGCAACTAGGGTTCTTATTGAAAACTCATTTCATCTTTTAAAAGTAAGGTTCAGGCAGTTAATACGAATTGATTTTCATACAGTTGAGAGAGCTAGTAAATTTATAATGAGTTGTTGTGTTCTACATAATATATGTATTGATTATAATGATTATTTTGATGATTTGCCTCTACTTGAAGACAATGATGTTCAACATCCTCCAGAACAGCTAGCAGAAAGGCGAGGAGAGCTCTTACACCTTGGAGAGCAAAAAAGTTATGGAATATCTAGCCAATAGAAGGTAGTATTTGACTGAAGTATAAACAATTATATTTTGTACTTATAATATGGCATCCTTTTTATGATGGCTGATTATTTTGAAATATTTTGTTAAATATGTAATAAAATAAAGAGTAATAATAGGTATTTATTTTTTTAACAGAATAAACTTAGTTTTTGGTTCAAAATGACCACATATCTTGAATTTGAAAATCTGGATGTACTCAATACTATTTTTTTGTATAAACATTATTTAGGCATTGTGATTAGAAGTGTCGATTATTTGACTATCATTCTCAAAATGCATTACCTGCCGGGCCAAAATTTTACAAATTCATAATGTTGATTATTTTGTATTAATTATACATAAATAAATTTTATAAAACTTCTGAACGAATATTGAAAAGTTGATTCAAAAGTCCAAATTAATTTACAATAAAATGTAATAGATACTGTCATCAATTTTTCTTAACTTTCTTTTTCTTCTCTGTCTGTTTCTTCTCCGTCTGTTTCTTCGCCACCTGTCTACGACATAGTCTCCTCATAACAACGTATATCGTGGTTATTGAGCCTACGCTGGCTAATACCACAAACAATATGACGTCCAGCAGCAGATATTTGTACCAGGGTAAATCCACACCAGCCACCCTCAGGTGAGGCGTTCCCCCGTGCCTTATCACATACTCTACCCAATATCTAGCCAAGTCCAAAGACTGTACTGGCCGATCACGCATCAACTTCGAACGCCTTTTGGCGTTTTTTCGGTATCTGAAACAGTAACCAATAAATCTGAATTAGGTACCTACTTTGTGCACAAGAAATATTAAAGTACCACGTTGGTCTCTTTATATTTGATGTTAATATTTGGCTCTAGTATAACTGTTACAACTTACTTCTTCTTATTCAGTAGTTCCTTCAAGGCTGCAGTCAGTTTCTTTTCAGTTATTTCAGGAAATGGAATGGTGATTCCATATCCATCCATTTCAGCCCGAGCTGAGTTTGCCTTTTGGTCTCCAAATATGGGGAATGAAAGGATTGGTACTCCGTGGTGTAGAGTTTCAATTGTACTGAGCAATCCGCCATGGGTAATAAACAGTTTGGTGTTGGGGTGAGCTGAAAATTATACAATTTACTATAAAACCATAAGATACAGCAACATCGATAGCAGTCTCAACTAATTGTTTTATACGAAACTCTCAATGAAGGAAAAAGTGATTCTGAATGTGCAGGGTGTATACAAAAAGTTCTAATGCTGACTCCTTGGCTATAGTGACTTGAAAATGACCTACTGACAATATATATTTTTAAATCAATGTAAACGGAGCTGAGCTTAGTTTCGTCAGCCTTGAAAGTATGTTGATGCGGATATAGGGTGGTAGTATCTAGTTCGAGTTCTTCGCCATGTAAGTAGGATCATGTTCAACAAGATAAGACGGAAAGATGTCCATCCGTGTTGCACGGAGATTACATAATCAGTTCGGGAAATCTACCATCTTACAACTCTCTGCATTTTTTTGTCACAAAACTTTCTTTGAAAGACAAAAGAACGCCATTCAAGAACGAGTCTGACTGATAATCTGGATCATTATACGATCGAGGGGATCTTCAAATATTAAGTTAGGTTTTTTTAACCGTATAGTCATTTGTGATGAGACACAAGTATCGTTCAGAATTTGACAATGTTGCTTGCTTATCTTATTGGACATTACACTACTGACGAGGATGAAACCATCTTATTATTACATTCCACCAGCATCCTCTCAACGCAACTCCTATGCACTCTACAGTGAAAGTGTTTTATATTTGACCCATTATCGTATATTCTATTACATGCTGTAGTAACATGCTGAAAAAAATTTAAGTTATGTACTTGACCACTAAGTTTTGAAATTCCGGCACCTATGCATTCATTTACGAAATTGGAGCAAGTTTTAGTAGAAGAAAAAACCACATCAGTTACAAAAATTTCATCGTTATACGTACCTAAAATGTCCTGCTGTGGTAGCCACTTAAACAATTTGACATTATCTGGCTTTCCTATTATATTATCTTCGTTCCATTTCCACAGAACCCTCTGCTTAATTTTTCCCAGAGCTTTCACGATGGCGTCCCTTTTATCTTCTGGCATATCTGTAGGTTTTATTGCCGACCCCATACTGAAATATACAACTCCGTCCTTTGCGCCGTCCATGAAATTTTTCACATCCCACGGCAGATGGTCTACAGGAGTAACGTGAAAACCTCCAATATCTATCATGTTAGGCACGTGGGGGATGGGTTGGCTGAAACTTTCGTGGGAATTTAGTAAAATTATGGAAGCATTGTAGTTTATTACGCTTAGATCCGGTATGTGAGGTAAATGCTGCTTCATGATTCTATTGTGTGCAGGAAGGTTAATGTAATAATAATATAATTGTGCTATAACTTTAAACGACCAATTCATTACACGTTGCCAGAACGTCATGTCACTTGAGTACTTCAATATGATTTCGGGGATGTAAGACGGTGGTGATGGGTTGCCTATAGCCATATCGATATACAAGCTAGGTCCAGTGGAGCTAAACAATATCAAAGGTGCATTGAAATGGGACGCCAGTCCATACAAAGCCTCGTTAAAGAACACTTCAACGATAACGGCGTCGAATTCTTCGTCGGAATTTATCAGTGCTTGAAAGTTGGGATGTTCAAATGTTTTCCGAGTATTCTCTAGACACATTGATAATAGAAATGTCGTGTAGCTGTAAGGGTCCAGATCTTCTAATTTGAACAGGTTCATATTTCGTTCTGAAACATGAAAATATTGAAAGTGTATCATGATGTTCTGTTTGGTTATGAATGTTCAATTAAACGCTGAAGGTTGCTCTCGCTCCCATATCAGCATTTGAAAAAACAGCTTTTTTCGTGAGCGATTCAGCACATGACGATGACAAGGATGACGATGATTAGGATGCCGATGATGAAGGTGATGATGATAATGAAGACGATGGTGATGAAGACGATAATGATGATGATGATAACGATGGTGACAATGACGATGACGATGAAGACGGTGACGATGATCATAATGGTGATAATGATGATGACAATGATGAGAATAATGAAGACAATGATAACGATGTTGAACGTGGTGGTCATGATGGGGACCATGATGATGACGACTGTGATGAGGATAATGATGGCGAGGATGACGACGACGACGACGAATGTTCGTAATTGCAAACATATATGCTCTTTATAATGACACTCATGTGATCGCACCAAGCAGCGGGTTGCATGTCATTCGCAGCACGACCCGATGCCCTTTGAACCGAGAAAAATATCAAGTCCGCGTCAGAGTACTTGTCTATCTTTCTTAGAAATGGAGATGAAATTCACTGTTATCAGTGACTATAACAAGAATTCTTGTTGTTATAGTCACTGCTGTTATGTAAAAATTTATTCCTACATGTCTTATTCTGTTTTTTTAACTACGTATCACAGTTTCAGGCGCGTATTTCTTGCAAAAGAACTTATACATTTGAATAAATCGAAAATACCTCCAAAATTATTCGTGTCCCAAAAAATATTTTCATTATTTACTCCTAATATAATTTTAACTAAAATGTATTTATCAAATGTCCAAAAAATCACTGCCGTAGACACATTTTTTATCTGGGGACTAGCGTGGAGACACAACTCAAAAAATTCCAAATATTTCAGTCAATGATTTTTTTGAACGTTTGATCGATTGACACTGCAGCTAAAATGATTTTTGACAAAAAATCCATACGTGTCTGTTGTTGATAGAATAGTTTTAAATAAGTATATTTGAAATTTATTAAATCTCTTTCTAAGCTTATTTTAAATTAACACGATATAACTGGAAAATGACTAGGTTTTCGAATAAAATCTTTTTCGTTTGTAATACAGTTGTGAATCAAATGCTCCCAGTTAATTTTCAGTCAGTGGCATAGAAAGTTATATATATATTTATTTCAGCACTAAGTATGTCGGAAATCAATGGATTCAGACCCATGATTCATTAATAGTTTTTGGTCTAAAATAATCTAAGTAACTTGCCCTTGCAATTATCTTATAAATTCAATAAATATAATGTTTTTCAAATCTATGCAGTTGTAATCAATCTAACTGAAAACTGATTACCTATAAGTTTGTTTGATTTGCACTCAACGAATGTTGAAACGCTTGAAATATATTTTTTAATTAAACAAATATTTTTTTAAAGATAATCCAAATCTACAATGTGCTTATATGTACAGAGTAGGCCAACTTCGACACGTTTGAAAGGTTTCTCAAATTGTCTAAAGAGATAAACAAAAAGCAGTTTAGACGTTAAGGACTTGATTTTCCGAGAAATAATAAAACCGAAAATGAACCGAAGCCTTCGTTTAAAATAAATAGTGTTGCACATTTTTGGACGGTTCCAGTAATGTTGAATAATATTTTTAGTATGTCCTTTTTAAAATTCAGTACAAGTTTATTATTCAGAACATTTTTATTTGTGAAAATTTTTATTGAGCAAAATCCAGCGATGTAAGCGATATTTTTCTAAAATAAGTTTTGATGTTTACTGTTTATTATACATATAAATCATTATAAAAACAAATTCCAAATCAGAACATTCCACGTAAAAAAATATAGGTTTGAATTGTCACAAAAAAATATAAAAGAATAAAGCTCCTATATCTCTTAAAGTCCTAAAAAATTAAAATATCGGGAGGCGGTTTTGTCCGTTCTAGTTTTCTCGAAAATTGAATCCGTCACTATCTCATCTAACATGTTAACTATAACTACTTTTTGTTTCTTCGGAAATTGGTCTACCCTGTACAATCCGATATTAATTTTAACATTTCAATTTGTAACCTACACATATCTCAATCTGCTACATTTCAGTTATTCAATCACACAATCACATTTTAAAAAGGTGCTGTATCACAAAATTATGAATCTATATTTTTAGTTGAATTCTATTACAGTGAATATTCGTACTGGATGAAAACATTGAAGGATATCTAGGAGATCTATTAAATGACGAACGGAAAGGGATCTAATAGGTATGCAAAATTCCTTTTTGTAAATATTAAAGAATCTGGAAGAGACGGACGGAGCAAAGACTGTTCAACAACAAAATAGCGTTGTGATGGTGGGTGAGAGGAGTATACAGGGTGGGCCATTAGTGTGAGAAAGTAAAATAACTCCCTTGTATTAACTTTCAGTTGCTAACACTTGGAACAAAATAATCAGACAAAGTTATAGGCAAATGTTAGACAAAGGCTTCTATATTAGCTAATATCGATATGTTATACAGGGCATTTTTTTATAATACGATCATTTTTAGAAAGTTTAAACTTAATTTTCCAAAATTTTTCAAATGGAACACCCTACATTTTATTGTTCTATTTTATTCACATATCGGTCCACTTCAGCTTTTATTAAGCATTTCTATATCTAAAATTGTTAGTTTTTAAGATATAGACAACATTTCTGAAAAAACTTAATTTTTATTATTTTACAGAATACCACAAATAAATATTAAGTAATAAAATTAACTCAAAATGGAATAATAAATTATGAACTGACAAGTTGACACAATGTGACAGTTTTTTTCAAAGCCATTTCGTGCGATCGAAAATAATAAGAATTGGGGTTTTCCAGAAATGTTGCTATATATTAAATACTAACAACTTTAAGTATAGAACATACTTCATAAAAGTTGAAGTGGACTGATATGTGAATCAAACAGAACAATAAAATGCAGAGTGATCCATTTGAAAAATTTTAGAAAATCAAGTTTGAACTTTCTTAAAATAATCGTATTGTAAAAAATGCCCTGTATAAAATATCGATATTAGCTAATATAGGAATCTTGCCATATCATTTGCCTATAACTCTGTCAAATATTTTTGCTCCAAGTGTTAGTAGTTGAAAGTTAATACAACTTCTTCGAGGTCATGTTTTTACCAAAATTCGAAGAATTCTCTACATAACTTGGCAACCCCGTACTAAAATGTTAACTGTTTATATTTCTATATATAGAAATTTCACGTTTAAAAATATACAGGGTGTTCCATTTGAAAAATGTAATATTTGGCGTGTCCCATTTTTACTCATCGCCCTGTGTGTTTCAAATTAATTTTGTCCTTTAGGTTTTTTGAATCTGTACTAACTTTTACATAAAATTTTTTTCTGTAGGTATTATGAATAGCAAGGGAGTTATTTTACTTTCTCACACTAACGGCCCACCCCTTACCTATCTCTTCTTTGCTTTGTGGTAAATACCATTTAAAATTAAGCTGAAAACCACCCAAAGGCGAATATGAGTCACATTAACATACTTTTCCGTTCCTCCAAAAAGCCAGTTAGAACGATATCTCTGTATGTTAAATTTTGCGGAGGGGTTCTCTCCCCGAATGCGCTGACCATGGTGATGTTGTGACCATTTTCAGCTAAGCCCTTGGCAAGAGTACTACCCAGGATGTAATGGCTGGGCGCCGCAAAAGGGAACACCAACAATATTTTTGAACATTCTGCACTGCCGAGAAGCGCCACTGCGATGATTAAAAACGTGCAACACTTCATTTTACTCACGTATGAACTGTTGTGCACGTTCTTGGATAAGCTATCTGTTACTAAAGACCAATATTCCCACCTAAGGTTTACGTCTAGTCAAATGATAAATTTGGATAAACCCTGTTATGTAGGTACTTATAGAAAAGATAATATGTAATGGTTAAATAAAATTGCCTTATCTTCATCAGATACGAAATTTAAATGTTGTTTTAATGTATGACGTCACCATTTTTTGTCTAACAACTTTTTTTGTTAAATATTGACGTCAATTATCTCATTTGATAGTAGATACGCGAAGAAAGTGAATTCCGTTATTGTCAAATTAGGTAATTGATATTTTTATAATCCTCCACAAAAAAGAAACTCTTAAAAACATACTGGATCAACATGAAAAACGAATTTTAATACTTCTTTAATTTATTTTTCTTTCTCAATTTTTTTGCATTGGTGTTCTGGGTGACCTGCGGATGAAATCCCTTAATCCTTTGTCTTTTGGCAATTAGATAGTACATCAGTATAAGAGACACCATCAGAAAAATAATTACATCTATCAAATACAACTGGAACCAGTAAAGCTCCAAAGAGGCATTCCTCAAATGAATTGCTCCATTATGCCTTAGAACGTACTCTATCCAGTACATGGCCCAATTCAAAGGTCTTACAGGTCTATCTCTCATAATGTTGGCATTCCTTCTTGAATTATCTTGATACCTAAAAAAGAAGATAACTTTTGATCATACTAAATGCTTCTTCTAAATAAATATGAAGAAAATTAATTTATATCTTTCCTTACTCTCGATTTTCCAAAACTTTCACCAAAGCCTGATGCAAGTTAAAAGCAGTTAACTCCTGGAAAGGAAGATGTACAGCTATTCCCTTCCGAACGCACCTGGCAACATTCATTCTCTGATCACCAAAAATCGGTATCCCCACCATGGGAACACCATGAAATACAGCTTCGGTTACACTCAGTAGACCACCGTGAGTTACGAACGCCACAAGACTGCGATGCTCTAAAATCAAAAGTTAATAAGGTTCATATTAAATACGTTGGGAGGTCTACCTAATATATCACTTTGAGGTAACCATTTAGAAATCAATACATTGGAAGGTTTGTTCTTCAGATTGATATCTTCATACTTGAGCAGAACTCTTTGCTTCATCTTTGAAAACATTTCCATAATATTATCTAACGTGGTCAAGGGAAGGTTAGATATGTTTAGGTTACTTCCCATACTGAAAAGTATGGCTCCATTCTCGGCTTCATCCAAGAACTTTTGAATGTCCTCAGGTAATTTTTTCGAGGACACGTGAAATCCGCCGATTTCTATTACAGCAGTGGTCAATGAAGCTGGTTGTGTGGTACTAACATGAGAGTTGAGAAGCATTAAACTGGCATTGTAGATAATATCCCTAAGGTTCATCTTTTTGGGAAAGTATTTGTCTATATACTCCTGATGAATTGGATAACTGACCAATTCCTTGTAAAGTATATCACATACGTTAACAATACTATTGAAAAGTCTTTGGAAAAAGCTCATGTGGTCTGTGTAATGTGTTTTTGTTACAGGAACAATAGAAGGGAGTCTTATGTCTCCAATTAGATGAGAATTCCATTCCGAAATTCCTATAGAGCTGAATAATACAATTGGAGCATTAAAATGGGCACCAAAAGCCATATGAGCCTCATTTAAAAATTGTTCCAATATAACTAAGTCAAAGGTCTCATTAGAATGGATTAAGTTTTGTACGCCAGAATTCGTCAAAGCATTTTCAGTCACTAGGTATCCCAAGTTGTGAACACTTCTAATGCGGTTTATAAAGTGTTCTCTTTCCCTTGGGAAAAGATCGCCTTAAACAAAAGATACAGCACATGGTAAAACAATTTAGACTTCTATTATTACTCGTACTACTTAATAGTAGTTCTAGTTTTTTTAACTTTCTCTTAAACTGACGTATTTACAGAATGACACGTTCGGTAAATCCCAGGTAAAGGTAAAGCATATCTAATACAAATTTATTTATTATACAAACTGAAAATTAAGAATAGCTTTAATATAGATAAATGTTGAAAATAGGTACATACGTTGAGGCTTGTTTACCATATCATCTGCTAAAATTGTCCTATAATTCTTAAGCTCCTCTCTAGGTTTATAGGCACTTATCATCGTTACATCGTGCCCTCTACGTGCCAATTCTGTCATTAACACTTCTCCTAAAATAAACTGGCTATAACCTGGGCTAGGAAACACGCCCAAGATCTTTGCGCCGTTTATGAAATTGATCGTTGTTACGAAAATCAAAATAATTAATTTACACATACCAGACAATTATTTTGTGTTTGTATAAAAGCAGTAGATCAAACACTACGTATTATCTTTGACTATATACACTCTAGTCAAAGGTATTATCTACAAACTGAGTCACATACTAAATGTTGATAAATAACTTTTAGAATACTTACACAACAACTCACGAATATACAACACATGTTACAGATCTACATAGGCGTAGCATAGCACGTTGCGGTGTTATAGAAAATGANTGGAAATTAGGAGTCAATGTAACGAATAGCCTCAGGCGACGCACATGATAGAATAGTCCAACTCACGCTCCATTCATAACAGGGCTGCAATTTGAATTCTGACCAATAGGAATTCGATAAACGCAACCGATGTCGATGGATGGACTAGAGATGGGCGCGAGTGTCATTTCATTTCTTTAGAACTAAATTAACATAATCATTTTCTCGTTATTTAACCTGTTCACATGATTTATGGATTTTAAACAAATCTTCGCGAGGATAATACGATATATTTGCTATACATAATAATTATATTTTGCATAGTTTATACACAATACATTTTTGAACGCGTACACATCTCTACCAAAATTTGACCTATTCTTCGGGTTAAAGTCACTAAAGTCTATTCAAGCAAGTCAAACTTGCATTTTTGTGCATAACATACATACGGTACATAAGAGTAAGAATTTATTATACCTTAAAGAACATTAATAGAAATTTTAAAAATATTAATAAAAACAAACTGATAATATGGCGAAATCTGTAAAAATAATGTTTTATCTTTGCATTGTTATTTAAAGTATGCTAAATATTTTTTATGCTGGTTTTTTATTTTATGTATTTATTTATTTTTTTTATTCTTTGTTATTATTACTATGCCCTGGCTAAATTATATTTTGTGGGCATCTTGTGTGTATTTATTGCTTTCTTTTATCTACGTACATACCAATTGCTGTATATGCTGTGACAATGCTGAGTTGTATATTTGGATTTGGATAAATAAATAACAAATGTTATTATGTACGTTATTTTACTCCTTTTGTCCCGACAGTGGTTGGTAAAAAAAATATTAAAGGAAAGTTTCATTCCGATTAACAAACTTAAAATAAACAAAATTCTCTAATAATGTGGCATGTGTTCTGGGATACTTATTTCAACATGAAAGTATTTGATATTTATGTATAAAACTTGTCGTCCTATTCGTATGGGCAGCCCCAGTAAATAACGGCATCTTTAAATTCCAGAACCGTTATTAACACTAACAACCATTAAAAGAACCATGAAATATGAACCATATTAGGGATCCGCATAAATTGTTCTAAATGACTGTTGTAGGAAGCAGCATTTAGTTTTTATTTTTAGTCCAGTAGAAATATGAATGTGACCATCAGTAGGTCGGTAGGTATATTAGAAACTATAAAATTTAAATGGAAATATTATTTTTCTATATTTTATAATATGTACCTATACCTACCTACCTACCTACAATGTAATATGCTTTTTGAAATTATTTATCTTCTCTGTCGCAACAAAAGTAAATGAAATAACTATTAGTGGGTATACCTACCTAGGTAGGTACATTAAAAATGATAATATTAAAAAGGTAAGTAGTTAGTTAGTTAAAAAAGAAAACCGCATCAAATTATTTCAAAAATTTAAACGCTCGTGTGTAATTACTTTTCCTTAATTGTGTGTTTGTTAAGCGGCTTATACATTTTTAGAAAATATGTTTATATAAATATCGATAATACAGTCCTGAACGAGGAGAGTAAAAATTGCAAATATCCCTAATCAGGCCCTGTTCTCTAGCCTCAAATGGCTGTCGGTGACGTCACACACTGAATTTCAATAGATTAAAGGTGCCGCCCGAAACCTAGACTGCTGATTGTTTTATATGCTGTGTCACGAATATACAACACATTTTACAGATCTACATAGGCGTAGCATAGCACGTTACGGTGTTATAGAAAATGACATCTACTCTTGTATAACACAAACTTAAGCTTTATCAACCACCACTACGTCAATATTATTTGTAAAGAGGTGTCTCTTAATTAAACTAACAAACTTCTGTAAGGTTATAATTAACACAAAAAGTTCCAGTCTCTACTCTCTAAACTCAATTAGGGAGATACAGCTATAGTTTGAAGATGACCTGTTAGAAATGATTCGAAAATTTCTTCTTAAAACTAAATCGCGTGTAACCCATTTTTTTACATAGCCATATGAGGAACACATTAATCTTTTTGTCCTTTGCAAAATGTTTTAATCACATGTTACAGAGAATAAAAGGGTTGTCAATTGAAAAATTTACTGCTCTTTTGAAAAGTTTCATTTTGAGAGAAGATTAAAAAATGCGTACATATCCTATGAGCAGTACCGCAAAACTTAGGGGATGAAACCAAAGAAAAAAACACCTCTTTGTAGCAGTTGTGAACAGGAAGACGAGACAGTATTACATGTGCTCTACGAATGCTCTGCCGTCTCGTCAATAAGAGAATCCGTGTTGGGAGAACGTTGGCCTTTTATGGCCTACATTAGAGAGATCCTCTTGAGTAAGCAGCTTTATCTCAATTTTTTTTTATTAAAAGCAAACTCCACTCAATGCATTTTTTTATGAACAGATAGTCTTTAAAAAAGATGACAAATTTTAGGGCTAATAGAACATTAAAAAATGAAATGACTTTTTCCTGTGGACCTATTATTTTTTTGATATACGCGGAAGCAATATAATTTTTTTAAATCCGGTTTTAACCCTTTTCTTTTCGAAAGTAAAGTATCCATTACAAATAAGTTTTTGTAAATAGATACATACGATATACATCAATGTTGTTAGTTTTGGTCTACGTTGTAGAGGTCGCTTTCTCACCAATATTTTGAAATACAACACTTTTGGGGTTAGGTTTTATTGATTAACATTGGTACAGTCAAAATCGGTGCATTTTTTGGCGATTTCAGCAAGGGACTCATTTGTACTTAAAAAAATTAAATTTCAAATATAAAAAATATATTTCTATTAAGTTTATAAGTTTGTATATTGTAGATATAATTGTTAAAAAATGATATTGAAGATACCAGGTGGTATTTTATATTATTTCAATACATAAAAAAAGTCTTAATTTTTTTATGTTCTAACCAGGCCCTCTGGATTTGTGGGAGTACTTTTAAAAATAAATCGTGTTTTTCAATCATACTTCGTACGAGAGCTACAAGATTGATCAAAGTTAAAGTTTTAATTTACCATTTTTTTATATTTTCCTAATAAATCAAATATTGTTTTTAGACGGCTATCGTGATGCGCAGTGGCAAAGTACAGAAAAGACCCGTAAAGATCATTTCAATTCGACACTCACAAAGCAGGCCGTGCATCCTCAGAAAAAAACAGCCCACGTCAGAATTTTCAAACAAAATTTTAAACGCCCATCGAATACATAATAAAATAATAATTAAATAAATACACACATATTATAATTGTATTTTACTGCATTTAAAAATATATATCGTCGATTTTACTCATTTTTGCTTTCTTTCCCGATTGTACCCACCACTCCACCTTCTTGAACTTTTTATATGTAGTGCTGTCTTGCTCTCTAGTTTGCGAATCTCACCGGCCAGATGGAATTGGTTGAACTATACTTTTCTGAACATAATGAAGTGAGAGATATTAAGCAGTAGAAATGACAAAAACAGTAGACTTTAATAGTTAGGTCTGGTAAATATCCTTATCTGATGAAGGTTGTATATTATGTATTTAAATACATATATGTATAAGCAAATTGTCACTGCACGTTTGAAACTCGCGTATAAGATAAAATTGATCAAGATGCAGTATTTTGTCACTGAATATAATTCTGCAATGGAAGTTAATTGTAACTTTACTAATACGTCGTTTTAAATTTTTTATGATTTTTTAAATCTCTGTTCGAATCGTACGCCGTTGTCACTCTATATGGTTGTCACCATTATAGTAATGTGTGAAACAGTGACAAACACCAAATCATCAACAGGTCATCTTCTAGCTATATCTTCGTAAGAGGTCGACAAATTGGCCCCTAGTTCATTGCGTTAGTTTTGACCAAGAAGTACCCTGTAAAAATATAGCAGTCAAATTAGGGAACACCCTGTTTTTGTTATTGAGAGAGGAGTGAGAGAAATACACATTATACGAAAAATTAGGAAAGTTTATTAATTCTATTTAAACAAAATCCTTAACTATTATTTTTTTATTTTATTCCAACGTCTGTCAACTCAACCCCACACTCGCAAATTTCAGGCATGACCTTCCAGGTCTTCATCAATGTGACTTTGCACGCGCTTTGCGAAGTTCTCTCGAACTTCAACCTGACATTCGGTACATTGTGCCAGTATCCACCACAAGAAATTTTCTCTTGATAAGAGTCTTGGGTGTTAAATCCCCCTTCGTTCCACAGAGTTATCAAATTCGTGACGATGATGACTAAGTTGTATTCGATGGAGAGATAGCGGAGGATGTTAACTGTGTGATTGAGAAAGTTGTTGTTTCCTGAATAGTCGGCCGACTGCCAGTACAAGGCTGGTAGAGAGTCGATTATAACAGCTCTCATCTTGAGACCTGATTGAAGTTTCTCTTTGATCTCGAATAAACTGTTGACGAGTTCGTGTTGGGAGCTTATGTTTTTAATTAGAGCCCTGCTTAGAGCTTCTACCAATTCCTGCTAAAAATAGAAGTTTCATTTCAGTTTTATTTTTTCATTCAATAACGCCAATTGATGTGTCTGAACGTAGACAACCAATTTTTTAAACTAAACACCCTCAAAAAATTATTCCGTATCGACTTAAATAAAATATTTCAATACCACACTCTCAATATATTTAAAAGAAATTTATATAGTTTATCTTATGTCAAGATTTGAACTCATTTTAAATTGGGTAGTGAAAACCTTTTCAAAAATTACTATTTTAGATATCAGAAAGTCGTATTGCGCTGAAAGTTTTATCTGAAATACCGCTGCATACGCACTGTGTTCTGGTAGTAGCTGTAGTCGCCCAGGTATATCGAGTGTACGAACTGGTCGGTTATACGTCAAATACTAACCTGGCGAGCTTTGCCGTCAATTAGAGAGCGCTTCCAAAAAACAAGTAAACAACAGTGGCGCGTACAGAGATAAAATGTAGTACATATGTGGAATTTAGGAAACAAATTGGATTTATAATAAATTGCATTTAAAATAAATAGTTTATGAGAATAAAGGAATTTTTGTAGCAACAAGGGTGCCAGACCTGAACTGATCCCCTCGTCCCTTCATAATGTATAAAGAAATTATTCAACTTCAAAAACCATTAAAAGCGTACTTCATTGGTTCCCTTGACAGGCAATGATTTATTACTTTGCATCGAATATGATCCTATTACAGTGACATTTATTTCCGTATTTCCTAAGATTTAATAAAGTTTTATGTATTTTAATATTCTTATATACTATATAACATTTAATTCTGCATAATATATTCATCTAGCTTTACCATCACGATATTCTACAATAATTATTAGCATACCTATATAATTTTAAATATTAAAACAAAAAAAAATGACCGAAGAGTACTTCCTAATAAATATGTATCTATTGCAAATTAAATTTTAACATACAACGTGTTCACATCTTTTCCAAAAACAATGTTTTACATGTGAAACACACTGAAATTTGGGACAAGTTTTTCAAGGACTAGGACTTTATGACACCCAATTATAATTATATTTTTAGGTAATATATTTTTTTATTTAAACATAATTCAATTAAAATCTAAACGCTAAAATACTGTCAAACTATCAAATATCAAATCTGTTATGTCAAATTGGTTCTTAATGACTTTATATGGTCTAAGCTGCGATACTGTATAGTAAAGTGTATCTTTTCATTTAACTCTTAGGTTGAAGTTCGAGAACATGATTTTATTAACAAAAAGTCATGATGAAAGAACTGTTCGTATCAAATAGCGAATGTCTTAAGAAGTTGCTTTACGAAAAATAATTTTAAATACAATTTATAAAAAAATAAAACTTGTGTCTAATTCAACTAAATGTATACATACTTAATTGATAATAAAGGGATTTTTTTAATTTTCAACAAGAATACACAACATAACCTCAAAAAATATATATATTATGTCGCCAATAAAGATTGTATATACTGTATTATACTTTAATAATGCTTTATATAAACGTCTTATGTTGGAAACTTTTGTTTGTCCACAGCTACCACATTTTAATACAAGACATTGTTTTTTGAGTAGAATTCATACCGACAAATTTTTGTTTAAAAAAATCATCTTCGACGGCTTCTGTATATCTGACTAAAAGGTCCATGGATCCTTGGTTCAGTTTTATTTTTTCGTGTTCTACCATTCCCTAAATTTAGACACTTTTTTAAAAACACCCTGTATATTACCTATTTATTTTCTCTCATTTTAATAATTATGTTAACAACATTATTTCAGTTAACAATATTATGATTGGGGTGTAAATTACGCAAGTTCCAGAGAACAATATATTTAAATTGGTGGATTGTGCATAGGTAGGTACCTAAAGGCTTGTTTACACGGGACAGTAGGTAAGTGGTAACTAAATTTTAAGTTACTGCTTTTTCTGCAAGTGCTATTCGCACTGGTAAGTTCTAAGTTTAGTTGTTGGTAAGTTCTAGTGCAGTTTATATATTTGTAAACCTGACGAAATGAACGTGAGGCAGCAGTTCTATTCTATTTTTTCGTGCAAGTTGACGACTTGCACCGAATTTTTCCCTCCTGCTGATCCACTTTCGCTCCCAAAGTCGTTTAGGTCTATTTTTCTCTTCATATATTTCTTAATTTATTTCTTCTAATATAATATTTAGGATATCGCGTAGTATGCCATTAAATTCTTCTACAAACTGCTGCCTCACGTTCATCTCGTCAGGTTTGCAAATATATAAACTGCACTAGAACTTACCAACAACTAAACTTAGAACTTACCAGTGCGAACAGCACTTGCAGAAAAAGCGGTAACTTAAAATTTAGTTACCACTTACCTACTGTCCCCGTGTAAACAAGCCTTAAATTCTATTCCAGTGTACTAAATTTTTACTTGCTCCATAACTTGTTACTTACCACATATGCGCTGTTCAAATAGGTTCAAGTGACTTAAAATTTAGTTGACTGTTCCCGTGTAAACAAGCCATAAGCGAGGTACCTACTTTCCCAACAGGCAATAACATAATAATCTGAAGTTAGCCATAACACAAAAGAAGTTTATCTATTTACTCGACTTACCTTATTTGAGTTGCATAACATCTGTTTGAATTTACGTGCGGAAAAGTCTTGTTTGGTATCCAAGTAATAAATATTTTCCTTCATTTTAGAAACCACATTTTTCATTAGAGTTAGGCAAAACAGCGTTTTCCCAGTAGCGGGCAAACCACAAATTTCATAGATATTTCCAGTGAATAGACCTCCTTCTAATAAATCGTCAAGGCTAAAAAATAAAAAATAAATAATACTGTATCTAACCGGAAATAAAAATAACATAGGTATGTGTACCATACTTTTTAATTCCTGTTTCAATAATAGCAGAGTTCGATATAATTAGCTTGTAATATTCGAAACCATTCCTAGGTTGAGCAGAAAACCTCTTTGTTAGTTCCTTCTTTACATCTAGAATTTCCTGAAATCATCATTTTGCAATGATTACTGCTAACAAACGGATATATTTTATTTTTTAAGTAACGCACCCTAAAAGTTAAATGGGACGATTTTTCAATCAGTTTGGTATCGGTTCTTATGAAATCGAGGACGGTATAGATTTGTTTAACATTTAGGAGTTCAATAACGTCCGATTTTAAATTTGGGTGCATATTTGGTGATAAACGGCTCATGTTTATTTTTGCCACTTTGAAAATATTTTCATAATTTAGCGGCACGCAGACGCGTTGCGGACAAGACGCATGCGTTTCGAGGCGTTACAGATCTAGGCGGCTGCTCGCTTGGGCGTTCGTCGACACGATTGTGAAAGAAGAGCCCGTCGCCATGTTAGAAAGGGCGATGTGTCCTTGATGTGAACGTGTAAAATGTTCGAAATATTAGATATATTTTACAATTTTCTAGTTACGTGGAGTACCCAATTGTACATTGAGGTTTTTTAAATACCGCGGTGGTGTTTTTATTTTCGGATGACCAATTTTCACGTGAATAATTTGTGATTACATGATGGTAAGTTCTATCCTACGATTGCACAGCAAAACATGGCGGCCGAAAATTTTCTTTGTTAATTATTGAATAAAATTTTATATCGAAATTAATAGTTTCCTCTCCGAAATTCGTGCAAATTTTTTCATAAAAACGATATTTAAATAAAAATACACTACTTATTTTATATACTATCACAATAAAACACTGCAAGCGGCTTTAAAGCGATGGCGCGTCTCCCGTACACTACCTAGTCAATAGAAAATTTTACGTCACTAACATATTGATTTCCTTTTTTGCAAAATTATATCAAACAAATCCACCCAGAATTTATTTAATTCACATTTGTAATTAATTTTTAAATTTTTCTGAATTTTCTATTAGAAATTCTTCTTTGAGGCGCCAAATCAAGCGCTCTTTTGAACTTAATTTTGGACATTACGTCATAAGCACAACAATCAAATTTTCGGAAACAGTTTTAATTTTCTTGATTTAATTAGTTGCGTCTATTTCAAATGCATTGTCTAGTCGGGTAAATACATAAAGCGACGGTACTTGTAACGTAGTAGTTTATTGTGCAATCAACGTTTTAAAATTCACTTGATTTTTCAAAACATGGGTAAACTTCAAGTTCAAGGCATTTCAAACTATAATTTTAATAACATCATATGGAAATTATGCCAACATTATTAACTTTCCATGTAAAGGAATTAAAATAGAAATCAATGTAGGTACTTTTAAGTTTGTTTTTGAACATAATTTTTTATTCTCACACTTATTTTTGTCACTAAATTTAAAAACTAAATATTTGAATTTTCATAGAATACACATTAATCTATTGAGTGATAATGCAACTCTGTAAATAAACTGTTCCTTTGTAGAAGTCTCAACGATGAGTGACGAAACTCCGGGGGCAGGGCAGGGTGCTCTGTCCCCGAGAGAGAGTCCAGGCTCTCGCCCTACGGCAGAGCGCCCAACAGTGAGATTAACGCATGTGGCGGGTGGGCAATATGTCCTAACTTCCCAACCCCATGGAATGCCAGCACTAACACAGGTATGAAATGGATTTTTTTCTCGGTACATTTTGAAAATGAGATATTTCCTCTTGATCAAATGTATTTACACATTATTTAAGATGAATATCGTAATTTTTTAGCTTATATTTATTAGCTAGATTTAAGTAATAAAAACTTACCATATGTTTATTTTATTTGTAATATGAGAACATTTTGCTCTATACCTAGGTATCAGAAATAATCAGAGGTTTTGCACATTAAAATTTTTCACCTTGAATTTTTTAATATTTTGAAATTTATAATGTTATAATTCAATTTTCAATTTAATTTTTTTTTTTATTTTTCCATATGTGGAAAATAATGAATTTTATGTAAATTTCAGCAATATAATACAAAAACAAAATAGAATGAGTCAAATTAAATTTGACACCTAGATAAGGAATTAAGCACTTTATTGTTTGGTAGATAAAATTGTTTATTATGATTTATTCATTCTATTGTATGGAACAAATATTACTATGTGGCGAATTTTACGATTTTCAGATATCTCCAGGAACTTTAGCAGCAAGTGCAAATTTCACGCAAGCCGGAGTAACCCGCATAATAAGTATAAGTCCATCTAGAGTGGGTCAGACTTCTCCGTTACGGCCAAGTTTAGCCAACCAGTCTATAGTCAGTGTTCTCACAAAGTCTAGACCAAACTCCAATATCCGTCTGCAGTTATTTCCATCTGGAGAAAGTTCCGGGAGTAACATCCAACACACTCACTCGAGATCACTTAAAAGACCTTTGTCGACACCTGACAAGAGAGATGCTTATGCCTCTAAACTGCAACGTGTAATGAACCATAGAATAGTGAGATCCAAGCTTGTAAAGGAAAAGTATAATGAGCATCTTCTAGAAGCTTTTTATTTGGAAACGGGGAACAACATCCTAGATTTATATCAGTTTGCTAAAAGACCTAAAAGCCAAACTTACGTAAACTACCTTAAAGAACATGCTATTGAGCCTAAGGAGTACCAAGAAGAGGCGCCTAGCATTTCCGTGCCTCAAACCACACCTAGTACTCCTTCAGCAACTTCCGCTAGCTCTCTACCTGGCATTTCACACAGCAGTTTTGTGTTGCAAACCAGTACGCCTACATCCTCTGTGGCTTCGGATAACAGTGTCGTGACTCCGAAGACCACTGCAGTGAAATTAAAATCTTCCTCTCATTCCGCCAGCTCGAATCAGGAACAGATCGTGGAGAAGGCAAAACAGGAAGCCTATGTCGTTCAGCGAATAGCTGATTTGCAAAAGGAAGGCTTGTGGTCAGAAAAACGACTGCCAAAAGTCCAAGAAATGCAACGTACAAAAGCGCATTGGGACTTCTTATTGGAGGAAATGGTTTGGCTGGCTGCTGATTTTGCGCAGGAACGCAAATGGAAAAAGGCTGCTGCTAAAAAATGTGCACGTATGGTACAGAAGTACTTCCAGGACAAAGCATTAGCTGCCCAGAGGGCAGAAAAAGCCCACGAACAGAACCTTCGAAGGATTGCAGCATTCTGTGCAAAAGAAGTGAAAAATTTCTGGAACAACGTAGAGAAGTTAGTCGAATACAAGCAACATACGATATTGGAAGAAAAGCGGAAAAAAGCCTTGGATCAGCAGCTGAGTTTCATCGTGGATCAAACGGAGAAATATTCTCAGCTATTGGCGGAAGGAATGAACAAAACAACAGTTGAGCAGCCTGCGAGTGGTATTTCCTCTAGATCTGTTTCTCGAGCTCATTCAGACACGGAATTTGAACCTGAGCTACAGAGTGACGAAGATGATGAGGAAACGATAGCTCAAGAAGAGGCTGCACTAGGGACCGAAGGCCACAGCGAGGAGGTGGCAGCACTGCAAAAGGAATCTCAGATGGAGCTTGATGATTTACTAGAAGATGATTTCCTCAGAGATTATTTGCTTAACAGGGATAATATCCGGCTTAGCGAGTCTGATGACTCCGATGATGAACCAGATGACTCGGAGAAAAAAGATCAGTCTGACACGTCCAAGAAAACTGATATCAAGAAAGGAAAATTAGAAGGATTTGAGAGAAATAGAAAGGTGACTGTGTCTATCACTGAGGACGATAGCAAAACTCCATCTGAGGGTTCTGAATCTTCGAAAGAAGAGGAGGAGGATGAGTTATCCGATGAAGAAAGCGAAGAAGAGGTAGTGGTGTCCGATTCGGCAAGTCAGGATGAACATGACGAGCTTAAAATATTAGTTGAGGATTCTCATAAAGAGGGAGAAAAAATAAAGACTGAAAAAGTTGAAAATGACGACCTCATCAATGACGCCGCTGCTATCGCAGAGAGTATCCAACCCAAAGGCAACACCCTATCTTCCACAAACGTAAGTTAATTTACTTTAATTAAAATATATTTACAAAATCCAGTTGACAAATAGATTTTAGGTTAATTATATACATAGTGTAACTTTGAGTGGGGGACATATTTATGCTTTAGGCTACCTTTGACTTTTGGAAACACGTATCAATAGTTTATTTTTCAAAATTCCGTCGTGAACACTTAATTTTTTTTTAAACGGTTTTTTAATAATTTTCCTACCCCACCGCTGGACAAGCTAGTGTGATCTCAAATAACGGCATGTATTAGTTGCAGTGCATGCACAATTGAGAACTGGGCTATGCATTGTTATCAAATCTGACAATTTAAAGGATTATTAAAACAAATTTCACATCACCTGCCGTGAGGTACTGCTCTTTGGGATAATCCATCTGATATTGTTTTCTTGCAGCAGAATCGTTTTCTCCGGACAAAAAGTAGGCTCTAATAAATATCTCTTTCTTGATTTGTATACATGATTTTTCATAATATCACTTGGGAACTTGAAAACAAAAACGCAATAATACACCGTATCGTCACTAAACAAAACACTAAAATAAATAACTTTATAAGGTCTTACACTTACACCACACAAAGGCACTATAGGAACACCCTTTCGCAAGACTAAAAAAATGTAACAGAGGATGGTAGACTCTCGTCAAATTAGAACACTTGTAACATCGGCAGTACTCGGTTCTTAAAGGGAAGTCATTGACACTGACATTCAAAAATAAAACATGCGCTGCTTAAAAAAACAGTAACACATAAATGTTTGTAAAAATGTGAAACGATTTTAAAAAATTATTTCATATTTAAAAAAAACAAAAATAATATATTAATTAATTATTAGTAACGTATCTACATACCAATATTGGTTGATACATAATAAATCATGTTAATTTTTCAAAAACAATTTTTTTAATGTTTGGCACATCGTCCGCATTGACACAAAAAATATGGTGACCAAAATAACAGGTGATTGTCATAGAAAAGCAATCTGTTTTCAGTAAATTATTTTTCATTAGTTTTGCTGTATAGCAGTTGATTAAAAAAATATATTTACAATTAGTAACTTATCTATGTACCAATATTAGTTAATATTTAATAAATAATGTAAACCTTTATTGTTTTCTAGAAATCGAATTTTTTAAAAAAGTTCGACTCAACCACAGTCATATCAAAAAAATATGGCGACTTTAAAATAACAAATATGCGAAAACAATCCGATTTGCTAAATTATTTTCCATAACTTCTTTGCACAATGTAGTTGATATAAGAACAACTGGCAACATTGGGAATACAACTTTATATGTAAATTCTGGGTGTGCTGATTTACATTGTTCTCTGGCGGCATACACACGAATTAAAAAAACTAATTACAGCTCCGGTACGTATCTGATTAAAAAAAAAATAATATAAGATTTGTATTCACATACTATTGCCTGTAAAAAAAACTGACCCTCCACTTAAAGTTACATACTGTATAATATAAGTAGTGCTTCATTAATGTGCTATTTTTACATGATGATATAAATGTCCGAAAATTTGAGATCCATTCAACTCAAATTTACCGGTGACGACTATCGAGGCATTTGTCTGAATTTACCTTGAAATTTTTTCTATGCATTGAAATATTAAGATATTTTCTAATTTACGGATTTCCTCCTTCCAGGTTTCCACAAAAATTCCTTTTTTACTAAAATTCTCTCTAAGGGAATACCAGCACATTGGTTTAGATTGGTTAGTGACTATGTACGAGAGAAAACTAAACGGCATTTTGGCTGACGAAATGGGTCTCGGCAAAACCATCCAGACAATAGCCCTCCTCGCTCACTTGGCCTGTGAGAAAGAAAACTGGGGTCCCCATTTAATCGTGGTACCAACTTCAGTCATGCTTAACTGGGAAATGGAGTGTAAAAAGTGGTGTCCAGCTTTCAAAATCTTGACGTATTATGGTACTCAGAAAGAGAGAAAGTTAAAACGTACAGGATGGACTAAGCCCAACGCTTTCCACATTTGTATTACATCTTACAAACTAGTCATTCAAGACCACCAGAGCTTCAGAAGGAAAAAGTGGAAATACCTTATTCTGGACGAGGCGCAGAATATCAAGAACTTCAAGTCGCAGAGGTGGCAGCTGCTGCTAAATTTTCAAACTCAACAGTAAGTGATGTTATTTTTTAGCAGGAATATTTAAACTTTGCTAGGGTAATATATATTTTTTTGCTTTTAATTTATGTTTTGAAACGAAAACAGATTTTTAAAATGTGTGTATTCAAGGATTTTTACTTGAAAAAAAAAATTATCACAATTTTACTTTTTTTAGTTCATTTTTTTCACAGTATTGTGAAAAGTAAGTTGTATTTTCTTTTAGTTCATATTTTAATATACAAGGTGTAACTTTCAAAATGAAGGTCGTATTTATATAAAGGCAACCTTTGACCTTGACCTTTGACTTGTTTGTTTTCTTAAATTCCTTTTGAGGAAACTAGATTTTTTTCTTACCCTTTTTCGTAATTTTGCCACTGACTGGCTAGTGTAACCTCTTTGTTGTTGAATTTAAGGGGACATAATATACAATTAGAAGGAGGAAAACGAGTTAATTTTGAGGAATTTTTTAAACTTTCATTCATTCTACATTCATCGGACTGTAGGTGTATTTTTATTAGGATATTCAAGTATTAAAAAAAAGTTTGAATTCATTCATTGTCAAAATGGCGGAGCTGTGGTAGAGAGTCACAGTAAGGTTGCGATACGACTTGGTGTGCAGCCCTGTGAAATTCAATCTGCATCAAAATACAAAAAGTTTCTTATTTGAAACATGTAATTTTTATGTGACATGAGAAAAATGGGGGCAAATTTGATAAAACGGCACGCATTTAAAGACAATCGAATTTACATGTGAAATTTCTGCAGAATTTGTATACAAAAATAGGTTTTTTCAAAATTTTCTAAAATCAATTTCCGTCGTATAGAAGGTAATAGTGTTATCAACATTTCGACCAAGGGGGAACTCGATGGGTTAAATAGTTTTTGTGCAATTGTGTACACCAGCTTCAGAAATATAGTTTCGAGAAACGGTAAATAACCGTTCCTATTTATTTTATCCTTTACATACGGAGTCGTTCGACAAACGAGTATCACTGTGGACGAAGGGGCAACTATAAACTGTAAAAAGCTTGACCGTCTATTGCCCGAAACTCGTCCGAAAATGGTTAATTCTGCTACAAACATCTGATCGACGAGTATACCTGTGCCCACTCGCTTCTAGCTGCTGCAAGCGCTCTGGACTCGAACAGATATGAATAACATTTATGGGCTGTAACTTCTGGAGTTTTTCGAATTTGGCTTCCAAACGTTCAGAATATATTCTTCACATACAGTTCTATCGTTTTAAGAATATTAAAAAAAATCTATTTTCTGATCGTTGTAATTGTATATCTCCTCTTAATCTTTCTTGGTTTATGTACATATTTTTTCATAAGAAATGCAAACGCACTGTTCCACCAATAAATAGTGAAATAAATAATTATGAGATTCTACAGTTACACTACACAAGAGACCTCACTAAATATTGCTTAAAATTCTACTATACAGGGTGTTTCAGAAAGACCTCCCGTAAATACAGGGGTCATAGTACGACAAAAAATAAGTATTTTTTGTCTTATGAAAACTCCATCTCCTATTGTTTTTAAGATACAGAGCAACAAAATAAAAATTTTTAAATAGAATTTTTACTAAAATTTCCAAACGGTGCGAAAAATATTTTTATGAAATTTGGTTGTCCGGGGTTTTTGCCAAATATTCTGGTCTAATTATTTTTTGGATATTTCATAGAGGGTGCTAGTTATGCTACATTCCTATTACATTTTAAGTTCTAATTTTTTTAAGGTTAGCTTTTTCCTTAACACGTTGACTGCAAGATAATCTCAATGTACTTTGTCCGTGACTGCGATACATATCTTCGGGGATATGTAACAAAACTTCTTCTGTGTTCGGTACATATCCCTGGGGATATGTAATTTTTTTTACATTTGACCCTATAAAATTAAAAATAACACAATTATTGCTATAAACTTGCATGTATCTGTAACTATATATCCTAGGATACTAACGTTTTCATTCGCAAAGAGTTTTGAAAAGAAAATAATAGAAAAATCATTATTTCTAAAAACTACAGATTCTGCAACTTCCACAAGATACAGTAAAAATGTGATTATTGAGACTCGCATATTTAATAATGAGTACATACCCCCCGAGGTATGTACCGCAGTCAACGTGTTAAAAACCCCTGAATACCAAGTTTCATAAAAATATTTCGCATCATTTGGAAATTTTTGTAAAAATTTTATTTTGCCTGTATCTGGAAGACAAGAGGAGATAGACATATAGTTCATAAACAAAAAATTCTTATTTTTTGTCGTACTATCACCCAACCGCCCACCCACCCCCCCGTATTTACGGGAGGTCTTTCTGAAACACCCTGTATAATCAAAACTTATTAAAACAACTCTCCACTGCTGTACAAATTCTATTTCGATTCCAAAAAGTAATACTTTCTGCAGAAAGTTGTGAAAATTACAAACATCTCGTAAACCGATGAACTGGACGCTAATATAAAATGTAATGAAATAAAATGGTGCAATATTTGGCCATTCTCATTTCACTTGACTGTTCCATAAATGGATATGTAGTTCAATATTATTTGTCTTTGTGCCGCTCACTACGCACATCCATAGAATCTATAATCGTCTATAGACTGAGTTACACTGAACATCGATCTATATTCTATCTCTGTCTTTTGCACTTGGTAAGGAATATAGAAATGATTTTTTAGAGGGTGTAAATGGACTTGATTTACCAGTCCTTAGAAACGTCTTGCATAAGCATAGGCGAGGGGTCTTAATTCCATGGCTATACTAAATTTATAAATTAAAAAAACACAACCAGGACGTTTTAAAACGCTGTAATAATTAAAAAGGATCAAAGTGCCGGTTATAGCAAACCGTAAAAAAATATTGGATGTTATGTTTTATTATCTTTTTCCCATATTTTCTATATCTCGTTGCCTTTTACGCAGACACGCCAATGGATTTTCATTCCCTGCACACTTTATCCCCCTTACTACTCCAAAAGCAAGCGATGAATCACTCTATAATTTCGACCGCGGAGGATAATTACTAACGTATGTCTATCCACGTACCAATATTAGTTTATATTTAATAAATAGTGCAAGAATATATATTTCTTAAATACGTTCCTAATTTTTGTCGGCATTGGCAAAAAAGAAATAACGTACAACACATAAAAGCAATCTATTTTTACATAATTATTTTCCATTGCAGTTTCGCTTTTTGCCACTCTGTTAGTTTGATGCAGTTGATTTAAAAAAGTAACAAAAGACAACAATGATAAGCACATACATACAACCGAATTCGGGAGCTACCCAGTGTAGGTGTAGACAAGAGTTTAGGTGCAACTTAAAAAATGAATTATGACTATTTATTTGATTTTAAAAAATGTTTCAAATTAATATTTTGAGAAACAAGTTACACTATAAATATTATTTTGTGGACTGACTTTTAATTCAATAAATTCACTTAATTTTTTGCCGATATTCCATTAACATTATTATGATTAATAGTCTTAAAAAAATTTGGGAAAATAGCGACACTAAGTTGATTTAGTTTCGTGGTAATAATATATTTGTCAGATTTAGCATATAATAAATAAAATACACTTCCGTGAGTTTGGAAATGTGTTTGGAAGTTTTCCAAATATATTTTTAACATGTATTCCGAGTGCATCGATTTTTATGACAAATAATAAATTCCCACTTTTCTAGAGAAAACTTCCTGATTTGAAATGAAAAAGCTTCATCCATTTTATTTTTCGTTTTTAGGCGACTTTTGCTTACTGGTACACCATTACAAAACAACCTGATGGAACTGTGGTCTCTCATGCACTTCCTCATGCCTAACGTTTTTCAGTCACACAGGGAGTTCAAAGAGTGGTTTTCAAATCCTGTTACGGGTATGATCGAGGGGAACTCTGAATACAATGAGAGTATTATTAAACGCTTACATAAGGCAAGTTAAATATTTATTTGTGTGGTAAGAAATATGTCACATTAAACTTTCTTCTCCAATACAGGTTTTGAGGCCTTTTTTATTGAGAAGATTAAAATCGGAGGTGGAGAAACAGATGCCGAAAAAGTACGAGCACGTCGTGGTGTGTCGTTTGTCGAAAAGGCAGAGATTTTTGTACGATGATTACATGTCACGTGCAAAGTGAGTAGTACCGCGATTCGGCAGTTACGGCAGCATTTACTGTAACACATTTTTTTAGAACGAGGGAAACCTTGGCTAGTGGCAACCTGCTGAGCGTTATAAACGTGTTGATGCAGCTGCGGAAGGTGTGTAACCACCCTAATCTGTTTGAGGTTAGGCCTACGATATCCCCGTTTCAGTGCGAAGGAATTAGGTACCATATTCCTTCGAACGTTTATTCTGCTTTAGAATACGATCCCTTCAAGGTGAGATTGCTACACTTTTAATTAATCACATTTTATTTCGTTTATGTTTTCATGATGATAATATACAAATGTCGGAGGAAATGAGATCCATTCAACTCATTTCTTATAATGAAGACCATCGAGGCATTTGTCTGAAGAAATAATTTTGATAAAATCCTCATGTAATATCCATACTTCTTTTTATCTAAATATATTCCTCCTTTCCAGCACGTTGACCTATTCTCCATGAACTTGTTGCTGATAATGCAGGAGCTACACCTCAGTTCCTACCAGTGTTATCGCATGCGGCAATCGAGAACATCTAAGAAAATAATTGAGCTCGATCAAACACCCGAGTTACCACCACCTTGTCCGCCCAGTAAATTAGCTATGAGAATTCTGCCTAAAGAAAAGCCGGTCGACGTCAAATCCGAAAAGAAAGAAGTGGTCATTAATCAGCCTCCTCCATTGCACTTGAAAAATGTAACGCCTCAAAACGTCAAAGTGAAAGTTTCTGGTGTGCAACTTGTCAATCAACAAGGAATCGTTAAAAGTGAGTGGACATATTTTTTTACATACCTTTACGCTTGACGTTTGAATTACTTTTTAGCTATACCGGTTGTGAATATAACGCAAGCGACTTCCAGCGGTCAGATAGCTACTCCGGTAAATGTGACTTCTGTTTTAAAGCCGGCGGACAAAATTTCTGCTAGTTTTGCCCAGCTGGTTCAAACGTCGACGGGGAAACACCTGCTGCTTACTTCTAATCCCAACATCACGGGAAACATTCCAGTTACCACTACAACTCCAGGTAATAAAAGTTTCTCATGCTCTACTGCTATGTAATCAGGAAGTCGGATAATTAAAATTTTTTGAAATAGGCCCATATTTATTGAAACGTTAAAATGTGAATAATTTTTTATTATCCCACTTCTGATCTTAATCTTTGCGATTTTGAAAGGGGGTCATATTTATGCAGAGGCTGCCTTTGATCTTTAGGAACACATAATTTTTTTCTCAATGCAGTTGTGAAAACTGAATTTTTTCTTTTGAGTCTTTTTTTTCGTAATTTTTGTACTCCATTGCTGGACATGCTAGTGTGATCTCAAACAACTGCATGCACGTATATGCCGTTCCGTTAATAAATACAAAATACTGAAGTAAAGGACTTCATAAGATTATACAGGGTATTCTTTGAAAGGGATAATAGAACATATTATTTTAAATAAAATGTTTCAAATGAACTTGGGTCATAGTTCACTTAATTTTTGAGATACATGATGAAATTAGAAAAATTGTTACACTTTCTGAAATATCTTTGGAATATTTAATGTATACTGATGGAATTTAGACCGATGATTTATCTAGGTAGAAGCAAAAACTTGCTAAGTTGACTTACAGACATATCAACCAGTGGCGGAGATACGAGGGATAAATACCACTAGGGCCCCCATAAATCAGTAGTGGTTCTGCAAATTCAATTAGTAGTTTTTATTCCCAATGACATATTTAAGGAAAAAAAAAAACAGTTTCTTTGAAGAATGAATCATATTAGTTCTGCTGAAATTAAAAATAACTAAAACTATTCATTAAACAGAAATAGGTTGCGAAACATTTTTTTTAGAAATACATTTCTAAATACAATATAAGTGGCAAAAGTTTAAAAAATTATTGAATTTTGATACTTTTTTAAGAGCCTTCTAAATTCCCAACCTTTTTCGCCTAAGGGCACATTTTAGAATACCGGTCGGGCGGCAGATACCATTTATTTTTTCTTGGGGTGGGCCCAGCACTGTAACAGGTCCACAAAGTCACCGGCTTACCGATATGACAAAGATGATAATAGAGTATAGGTCTCTTTTTCTGGGATGACTGGCTTTCTAGGTTGGGCCGTGCACATCCCTGCCCCCCCCCCAGGATTGTTAATAATACACGTAATATACTAAAAAAATACTTCATTTCAAAAATATTTTAGTATATAAAATTTATGAATTTTTATGTAAAAAACTTGACATTGTTATTAATGTTGGCGGCACAAGGATTGAGAATAGCTTACTTCGCACATGTTTATACAATGCCATGTGGATCTTTTCTGTCAAAATAAGCGTTTAACCAAAAATCATAATGGACATTTCTACAGAAGAAAACATTTCCCAAATATAAAAACAGTAATAAGGGTTCCAAAATATAAGCGTCAAAAAGCACATGGTAACAAAGAAATAGAAGTGAAGCTCAATCGCTAACTATTTCGGTTTAGAAATATTGTAATAGGCAGCCAAAATTAACGAACATTACCAATAATTGTCATACAATTTTTTTCTGGCTATACACTGGGACGGTTTATTGAAAACTTAAATATATTTTTAAAGGGATCGCACAGCACATGTAAAACGGTCTGCGGGTGTCATGGTGCCTGTGGACCCCTGCTCTAGAATGTTTATTTCAATGCAGAATTAACATTAGCCGTTTGTATTTTGCACAGCTAGCACCTTCCACCCCAAAGTATGTATAGTATGTACACCTAAATTAGGTTAATGTCAGAGTTCATTAACACTGGTTCACAAACTAAAGGTGCTTTAAAGGTTTAGTAAACACTTTTTATTAAAAACTTGAAATAATTTAAGGAAATTTCAAGTCTGGTCAGATTATTAAGTCTTTTTTTACTTTTTATTATATACATTTCATAAAGCAGGAAAAATAATTATATCAAATTATAAATTAGTTTTACTTTCAATTACTACCATATGTCTATATACATACCAATATTAATTCATATTTAGTAAATTGTGCAAAAAATAATTTCATATAACTATACAAAAAAAATATGGTGATTTTAAAGTAACATGTCAAAGTCTAAAGGCAATCTTTTTTTTTTCAAAATTACTTTCCATTGCAGTTTCGATGTCTGCCACTTTGTTGGTTTCGTACAGTTGGTTAAAAAAGATAACAGGCAACACTAAATAGTATTATAACTCAGTTCAGGAGCTGCCCAATGGTAGCACAGACAATAACTTAAGTGCAATTTAAAAAACGAGCTATAGTAGAACCGTTTTAAGATTGCCATTACGTCACGAGTGTGTCCTAATGTCAAAGACAGTCGTTACGGGTGTGAATTAATTATTTGTTATACGCCAAAAAGAGATACAATGATGGCATAAATGTCTTCATAGTCTCAGTCTATCACAGACAATCGATCCAATATTTTATGTGTATTAGAGTGAAAGAAAATGGACGACGTTTGTTGGGTATTAGTTTTAGACTATAGTTTGACTAGCACATTTAAAACAGAGTTGACAGTCAGATTAAAATTTTAACAGTTGTTTTGATCGCATCTCGGTACCTAACTGTTGGATATATTTTCTGAGCGTTGAAATATCGATTTTTTTGCATATTTTCGTATCCAGTAACACCAGTATTAAAATTTGCGAGATATCCAGATTTGGGAATTGTTAAGATGACATTTCATTTATATGCAAACAGTGACTAATTTGACTAGGATTTTTCGTCTTAGTTCATACGAATATTGCTTGTGACGCAATGGAAAAGATACAGCGGTTTTAGTATATAACTTGACTATTTATTTGGTTAATAGATTAGGCAGGTTATTATTCTGGGTAACTATTACCCCTTAATAAACTGACCACAATTTAAAGTGACACCCTGTATATTGTACATGTTATTTTACTAAAATTTTAGCCCTTTCTATATCCAAGGTGGTTAATTTTACCCAGATTAACCATAATTAGTAGAAAGGAGATTAAATGTAACTTTACCAAACAGATTGGTTATTCAATGATCAATCTTGTATGCTTGTTACATACATTTTTATAATTTTTTAAGTGATCGGGCAGTGCTTAATTACCTGTTGATTTTTAGGGGGACAAAAGTTAACTTTTCTATCGAAACAACCTGTCTCAACAATTGGAAATGCTGGTCACGCCATGACGAAGGCGTTTGTTAAATTCCAACTGACGTCGGTCACAACTGCGACTTCGACCACAACAATTACTACATCGGTATAAATCGCCTATTTTTTCTATGAAATTTCGATGCTGAATTAATATTGTTTCTAGAATTCCTCTGCACTGCCCAGTTCGAAAACCGAAGAAAACAGAGAAAAAGGTGTTAGAATACCCGTCGGGGACGATTACATAGGCCAACTTTATTCTAAACAAAATAGCTTGGATGTTCGGTGGAGAAATGACGAGAAAATCGTGGGATTACCAGTAAGTTTTTTTAGAATCGTAAATAATGTTTGACTTTAATTTTGATTTTTTAATTTTAGGGCGAGGAAGACCCAAAAGGCGAGCGCAAGAGGAGGTTGGAACTTATGGCTCGTGTGAACGAACGTAGGTGTTCGGCACTCCCGCTATATGGTAGGGATTTCCAGGACGTTGTTAAAGTGTTCGTTCCGAATAAGGTTAATTCTTGGAATGGCGGGCATATTCACTGCTTAAACACCCTATTTGGTAAGAATATCGAGGACACCACTGGACCGCTCAGGGAAATGTTGTACAATCCAGAAAGGAGGATAGAGCAACTTAAAGACATCTCTGATAGGTAAGATTGCAGCATTTTTAGATTTTAAAAAATTGTGTTTATATCGGTCTTTTGTAGTGCCGATAACATGCAAGGTGTGTCCCAAAAGTATCCGACCTGCATTCATAATTCTGCGCAAGCATTATTCTTCCTCATCCGGCTCATTGCATCCTTCAAAGTAATCCTCATTCCATTGAGCAACACCCTCCCATCGATGCTTCCACATCCTTAAACAGTTCTGAAACTCAGATTTCAGAATGGCCTTTAGTGCACTCGTCGCATTCGTTTCAATCATCTCTGTGTAGTCAAACCGGTTCCCTTTGAATTTTCACACTGCAGCAGCCGGTCAGTTTGTGAGAGTTACTGGTTACGCTTGTGCCCCACAGAGTCGCTCGAACGTTCTGGAGTTGAGTTATGAACACTTTTAGGACATACCTCGTATTTTGAAATTTTTGTATCAAAATTTAGTACACAGGGTGTCACGCTTAAATGTGATACAAGCCTGTAACGTCTTTATTTTTTGGCTGATTTCAAAAAAATTTTTTTAGATTGTAGGGGAAAAAAGTCTGATAGTGCTGCTTTTATTAATGTAACACACGGGCAACTAAGACGCTTTTTTTTGACGTCAAAATAGCAAATTTTTATTGGCAATTTTTTTTCCAAAAAAACATGTATTCTCATTCAGCATCCCTTAAAACGTTTTATCAGCAAGTTTCATCGAATTCGATACATCTTCAGGCGAACACTCCGTGATGTCGCGCTTAAATGTGATACAAGCCTGTCGTTTTTATTATGGCCAACTAGAACATCATGGAGTACACGCCTGAAGATGTATCGAATTTGATGAAACTTGGTGATAAGACGTCTTAAGAGATGCTGAATGAGAATACATAATCTGTTTTTTTTTTTGGAAATAAAATCCCTCATAGAAATGTTTTAAAATCTTATGAACTTTGACCTTCATATGCGCAGAAACATAATTCTGACCGTCGCCTAAATTATTCTACGTCCTAAAAACATAACACCTATTTATTCACAGTCTCTCTCGAGCTCTAGCGTAAACAAGCCTTTGATCCGATTACAAATATCATAATAAAATGCCCTATTCTTTATTATTTTAATTTAAACAATAAAAAAATATATAACGAACGTTCGTCAGTTGACTTTATTGATGCCCGAGCGCCTTAGTTCATGTCTACTTGTAAAGATGCACATGGTCTAGTTCTGAGTCAATGTTTTCACAACGTGCTTATTAGAAAAATTATGGGGATACGCCACGCCTTTCGTGCATTTCGCAGCTCATGAAATATTAAAAGACCTCTACCAATTAACTGTTTTGACGTCAAGAAAATGCGTCCTAGTCGGATATGTATTGCTTTAATAAAAACATCAGTATCACAGTTAGATAGTTTCTTTATTAGTGATGGGCATAATAGTTCTATTCGGAGAACTAGTTCTCGAGAACTACTTGCTCCAAATGAACTAGTACTTAAATCTAGTTCGCGAACTACTTTAGATATTCGACGACGTGAGTCACTAGCAAAAGCATCTCTCGTTCTCCCGTTGCCAGGCGCGATTGCGATCGTTCAGTCTTGGTGAAATGTACATGCAGATCGGTTTACATTTAGAGGGCGGAGTACTGAAATAAGCCAGCAAATGTACCACTGCGTTTTAAAATTTAATCATTTCAAATTAGTAATATTTACGAGCGGGTTGCATTGTTTTACATTAGCACTGAATCTAATAGCTGTTGCGCGTTTTTTAATAACACGCTTTTTCATTTCCTTCCAAAGTCAAAATGTATCTAAATTAAGGCAAAATATTTTAATGTACAGTAGAACCCCGATTATCCGAGCTATTGTGGACCAAGCCTACCTCGGATAATCAAAAACTCGGATAATACGGACTTTATTTTTTACTGTAAAATAAAATCAGATTTTTAATCAAATTACATATGTTTTATTTACGTACGCAGTAATAAAGTATGTAAGTACTAAAGTAATATGTGTGTATATACCTAACAGTATGACAAGCAAGCTAAGGAGTAAATAAAGACGAAATTTTCGTTTGACGTAATCGAGGAGCGCGATTTTTTGCAGCAATGTCTCTCCATTTTTTCATGAGAAAAATGTCTGCTGGCGTTGCTTCGTTTTGCTGCTCCACATAAGCTAAGGCAGTTTCAAATGCAGCTAAAGCTTCCGAATGAGAAACTTTCTAAAAAATGATTTCTTCATCAGAACTTGATTCTTCAATGCGTTGGCGTTCTTGAACGATTGACGCAATCTCTTCATCAGTGTAATCCAATTCCACATCATCTCCTCTGATCCACTCTGATCGGTCAAAATCGACACAACACAAATAGTTCGCGCGAAGTACTTTGTTTTAGAATAGGGAACTAGTTCTTTTAGTTCACTATGAAGAATTGTTCGTTTTAACTCGTTTGTTCGCGAACTACCCATCACTATTCTTTACCCTCCATTTTAAAAAAGAAATTTTTGAAATTGGCCAAAAAATAAAGAAGTTACAGACTTGTATCACATTTAAGTGTGTCACCCTGTACACATATCTGTTTCTTTCATTATTAATTACTTTTTAGGTTTATATTCTACGTACCTGCTGTGAAAGCCCCCGAACCCGAGATGCAGGTCTGGCATCCGCCGCCCAGCAAATACTGGGGTCAGAAGGAGGATCGGCAACTGATTCAGAGGCTGTTCTCTAAACCTGCCACCTCCTTGCACCACATAGCCTCGGCGATGGTGACCCAGTTCCCCGACCCCCGCCTGATCCAATACGACTGCGGCAAGCTGCAAACATTGGATCGCTTGCTGAGAAAACTAAAAGCGGAAGGACATCGGGTGCTAATATTCACCCAGATGACCAAGATGTTGGACGTTCTCGAGGCATTCCTTAATTTTCACGGCCACATTTACCTTCGTCTAGATGGTTCGACCAAAATCGACCAGAGGCAGGTGAGTCTTGTTATCCACATGCCACTAAATAAAATGCTAAATGTGGTGAAATTTTGAAATATATACCATTTCCCTTAAAAAGTCACTTGAAGTGACCCATTGTACATATATTTTTTTTTATTTCAGGTTTTGATGGAGAGATTTAACGGTGATATGCGTATCTTTGCTTTTATATTGTCCACTCGTTCCGGAGGGGTGGGTGTTAACCTCACCGGGGCGGATACTGTGATATTTTACGATTCCGACTGGAATCCAACCATGGACGCCCAAGCACAAGATCGTTGTCATCGTATCGGGCAGACCCGGGATGTGCACATCTACCGGCTTGTCAGCGAGAGGACCATAGAAGAAAACATTCTCAAGAAAGCCAATCAGAAGAGGTTGTTGGGCGATCTTGCAATAGAAGGTGGCAATTTCACCACGGCTTATTTCAAAAGTGTAAGTTGAAAAAATTTTACTTGAAAAGAAAAACTGCTTATTACTTTGTATTTCCAGTCGACCATACAGGACCTATTTAACATCGATCAGAACGAGGACAGTGCCGCAAATAGGATGTCCGAGATCATAGAAGCGAAGAAGGAAAGGGAGAGGGCACTTTCAGCGGAAAGCGCCGCTGTGGGAGATGAAAAAGCTGCGATGGGCGCTCTAGAAAATGCGTTGGCTGCTTGCGAAGACGATCAAGATGTTTTGGCGGCGAGGACAGCTAAAGCGGAAGCGGTGGCGGATCTTGCCGAGTTCGATGAGAATATTCCCTTGGAGGACCAAGAAAAGGATAAAGAACCAGAGATCAGTAAGGCTGAACAGGAGATTAACAACGTTATAGAGAAGGTAAGCTATGTATATATATTTTTTTGTTTATAAGTTTGCACTGTCGATCAGTTTGCAGTTTTCGATAGCTGTTTAACTTTTGCAACGGTGCTAGAATATAGCGATGGCCAGCATGTTTTTAAATGACAGTGTTAAAAACTATCTAGAACCTCGCAACAATTTTATAATTTGAATTATAATTCAAGCAATGAACAATAGACGACTGGCAGGAAACTTTCATTTCTATTAAAACTGCATAAATTTGTAACGGGAATAGTTGAGAAAGTTTTGATGGAGTGGGTTCAATATGTACATCCATTGAAAAGCTTTACATCTGTTACATAGCTCATTCTGTACAGGGTATCTCAAATTCGATACCCCAGAGCTGCTATTGGCTCATAAAAGACAAATAAAATTTTCACTAGGATTTCAAATAGAACCACTTAGACTTGCCTTTAAGTTAAAAATATTATTTTTGGAACTGCCTGTTATGATGTCATGAAATATATTTGTCCCATAGACATACCTATTTCATTTCATATTAGAAGAGTTTCTCTGATAAACTTTTTTGATATCTCCTTTTGTTTAAAAGTTACAAGTAGACCTGTGAAAACGCGCTTATTTTAAATATCTCAAACAAAAGTGAATTCGCCATGATTTAATTCCATATCGGTTTAACGGTCGAAAGCATATAAACTATTATATTCGACATAATATTGTAATGTAAATATAGAACCATAAAATGACAACAATATTTATTAATCCTTATACAGGGTATAGCAAAAGTACCGAAACGGCAGAATAACTCGGCGGGAGAGCAGTTTAGAAAAATGTTAAATACAAAAGTTTCAGGATTTCTCCCTGGCTATCCGATTGTCACCTTGACCTCGAAGATCATTTCAAGGTCAACATTTTTCTCTAAAATGCTCTCCCACAAAGTTATTCTGCCATTCCTATATTTTTGTTAGTTTGACCTTGTGGAGGCCTCAATGTCAAATGGGAGGGGCCATTCAAGATCATATCTGAACGTAAGATTTTCCACTCATTTCATTTCTGGGGTCAAAAGTATAGGGTCCCATTTGAAAAATCACATTTGACCTCGAAATGATCTTCAAGGTCAAGATCACCGTCAGGGAGAAATCCTGAAACTTTTGTATTTAACATTTTTCTCTAAAATGCTCTCCCGCCGAGTTATTCTGCCATTCTGGTACTCTCGCTCAAACACTCGGCCGCAAAAAGAGGCGTACAATATTATCAGTCTTTCCTCACGAGATGGGCCCCTTGGTCCATCTTTGATCTTAAAGGCGATTTCTTCGCGTCTAAGAGAAATTTCCTCTTTAAAAAGAGCCAAAAATCAAATTTTTTCGGTGCGAGAAATACCCGAAGTACATCCGATATTTAGACAGAGATTCCGACCAACGTCAGTGAAGACGTCAAAATAAATTTTGTGTTTTGAGGTATTTTCCCAGCTGATTGGGCCGCAGCGGGTCGTTATTTTGCCGTTAGGCACCAGTTCTGGTCTTTTAGATACGATATTATGGCGATTTCGCTCAAAATTACTTTCTCTATCATCTGTGTTCGTTTGGCACACCGGAAATGAAACATCCTGTATATTATTTACCAACCTACAAACAAAAATATTTTTGAAACGCTAAGGAATTCAAAAATTATTTCTAGCGACTCCTTTTAGCCACTTTTACAAGCATTATTTTTTTTAACCGCTTAATTGAACACCCTGTGCATACACGAATAAATATTGTTAGAATGCTTGAAGCCACTTAGTTTTTTTTTACAGTATATCAAAATTTTCTATTAATCCACCATTTTTTTAAGACATTTTCCAAAATTTGTCATTTTAGCATTGTACATTACAAACTAGCTCATCAAAATGTTGATGCCCTTATTGAAGTAATTAATTATTTGCAGCTCTCACCCATTGAGAGGTATGCCATGAAATTCATCGAGACAACAGAGTCTGCATGGTCAGCGGAACAATTAGCTGCCGCAGAGAGGGAGATAGAAGAACAGAAGCGGGAATGGGAGCAGAACAGGCTGGCGGCCATGAGGGAGGAAGAAGAACGTCGGGCACGGGAACTGGAAGAGGAGGGCGACATCATCACGTTCTCCCGGGAGGACGCCACCAATCAGGTTAGCACTAAGTCTAAAAAGTTAAATAGGTCTAAAAAGTTGCTGAACAGATCGAAAAACATCAACAAAGCACATAAAAAATTAGTGAAACGGACTATGACGAGTGACGAATCTAGGGTCTGTATTAAAAGAGTTAAAAACAAAAGGATAGCTAAGAAAGTAAGTGGCATTAAATTGGAACCAACTGAGGACAGCGTCAAGATGGATATGTCGCACGATAGTCAAACTATAGAAGAGACGCAGATCAACGGGGAAACTGACAGTTTAGATAGTACCGAGTCTATCTCTAGCGTTCAAGCGTTGAAGCAGGTGTCTAATCATGTAGATCACAATTCCCCAAGAACCAGGTCGAGAGGTACAGTAGCCATTAATTTGTGGACATTAGACGTGAGCCCCATTTTGCCTGGCGAGAAACCCCTCAGGAAAGTGAAAGATCTAAGTGACCCAAGTGAAAGGAAAAAAAGGCATAAGTCTTACGTTTCTGAAGATGACAAAAGTCAGTCAGAAGACGATAAAGAACCGAATAAATGGAACTTGAAAAAAAAAATTGTGCGAAGCAAAAAGGATAGTGTTAGCAGCGTGGAGGATGCGGACATTGAAATTAAGACATTTAACCTTTCAAACATGACTGAAGATGGACAACTGACAGAAATCATCAATAAAGGCAAGATTTGCCATGTCCTTTTGAGTAATATCGTAGCCGATGGTCAGTATTCACTTCCAGAAATTGCAAATAGTTCTATGGAACTAAATGTGAATTTACCGGAAAGTAGTTCAGATGATCCTGGGCACAATGAAACACTACAAATAGAAGCGAGTTCAATTAATGAGCCAGTTGTGGAGGAAAAAGATTTAAAAGATCAACCTGAATCTGTTGAGAAAGAAAAAGATTTAAACGAATCACAAAACACCACGGTTACCATCCAACAGGAAAACGCGGAAGTAGTGGCACCCGAACCGGACAAAATCGAAAAAGAAACGCCTAAAGAAAACATAGAAAGTAACAACAAATTGGGAAATATTTCTAGTCATCTCGACAATGGCCTCGACGGACCTAAAAAAATTCCCCCGAAGGTGACTAAAAGGAATTTATTTAAGAGTCCTGATGGCAGACGGACTTACAGGAGATTTGGGAGGGGTGTCCACAACAAAACTCTAGATAATTGGGTGAAACGCTCTCCAAAAGCTGGTGGTAATGTCAGTGTGAATAGTAGAAAGGCGGAGGATAATGTGGACGATGTGAACAAGGACGTTATAGAGGCGAACGAATCTATAAACGATTTGAATCAGACTGTATCGAATTCCGATCTGGTGTCAGAAGTAGGTAACTCTAGCGACTCTAAGCCCGATTAAATTGTGCACTGTTTGCTATTTGAATGGGACTTATATTAAATTATACTGATATGTGAATATGTGATCTTATTGTTAAAAAATATCTTGTACAGATTAGTAGAGTTATAGTTTTTTTACAGAACAATTTTTATTGCGGATACTTGTAAATTATAGAGAGTGAATGTGTACATGTTTGTTGCCTTCCAAAATTTGTTATCCTTCGAGAGGAGACGTTTTCAGATTAGTTTCTTATTTATTCCGGTTTTAAATTTACTTTTCAGTCATTCGCCACAATTATTGTTTTGTTTCTTTTCTTCTGGCATTCGTAGAGATACATCTAGATACGAAATTATGACCACTTTATTTTCTTTCACTTTATTATTGAACTATTAAGTGAGATAGTTAAATTATTTATTATGTACTCGAAATTTTATATTAGATAATGTCTAAAATCTCCAAAAAAAATATATATATTAACGACTTCTGATATGTATTTAATCTGACAAAGATATTCATTTAAAAGTGAATTAATGTTTATCAAATAAACTTTATTCAAGAAAAAAAAAACATTTCAGAAATTTGAATTTAATTTAATTAATCATGTACAAAATTGTTGGTAAATGATTTGATCGTATCCAAAATGATTAATTTTATGCAGTACGGCAACATATTATATATATTTTTTTAAAGAATTGCATTTAACATGAATTTTGCTCAGGGAATGTTTTGTTAAAAGATTGAATATAAATCATGCCAAAAGAAAAGACTGAAGACAAAAAAATTTGTTCATTTGTGTACAGTGAATATATTTTTTACACGTCACGTGTATTTGTAAATTACTCGAACCGAAAACATCAACGATGCATTCAGGCATGCCCGTTTAGTATTCTTCTTTTTCTTTTGGGTATGCGAATGGAACGTCGAGTTTTCGGAATATTAAAAAAAAAACTTACGCAATGTAAAAGTACTGGCCATGTACATAGTTATTATAAAAAGAAAGGAAAATAAAGAAGTTCTCTTGCAAGTGTTTGTGTTTGTTTTGCGGGGTGGACGTGGGTTTTGGTGCCTCTTTTGCTCAGACGTCCGCAGCGGGCACCAAAACACTGCCCCGCTGGACATGAGCAAGGGGGTTTCTTTCAAACCTACGACCCACCCCAAAGTTTTCTCCTGGTTCTTCAATATCAGACCGTTTCGTTATATAAACAAAAAAATTTATGGTAAATTGCTTTTCTTTATAGTTTTAAAGGTATTACCATAAATTTCAAACGGATTAGAATATTTTTTTATAGAAAAAATGGATTAGAATACTTCTCATATATTAAAAAATATATATTTGAAGTCTTAACAATGTAAAAAGTTACTTCAACCATAACTTTTAAATTTAAATCATTTTGTGTGTGGTTTAAAGGAACTGTTAAATGTAGACTTTGAAACTTTGGAAAAAACTTGGGGTACGTATTGATTTATCATGTTAACAATATATCTTTAATTTTATTGCACGGTATAAATCAAATAGTGATTTATACGGCAGGATACCTTTTAAATTTTCATTTATTATCATTACAGATTTGGGTCTCTGACAACACAATGGAGCAAATGCCTGTAAGTATTTTAGTATACTTTGCATTTATCAAAAATTACTATTTAATACAAATGGTAATAGTTGGAAATAGGAGAAAGAAGTAACGGTTTGATTTCCTTACTAACCCAACGTTTCGATTTGTTTTAAATCATCCTCAGCCTATAAATAATTTTACATGAGATAAAAATATTAGATATACTCGTAAATCGTTAAAAACTATAAAATTGAAAGTTTTACAACGATATTAAAAAGCATTAAAATTGTTACCAAAATTAGGTCTGCACAATAAAAATATATTTAAACCAAAAAAAAATATATGCATCACTCGGTTTTTTTGACAATGATTTTATCTCTAGGTTAGGTTATTTTTGTTTATATATTTTTTTAACACTAACTTTATACTAGAAAGGTCGGTAAACTCCGCTGATGCGGAGTTGAACTTTCTCTCGGGTCGCGCGATGCGGCATGTGCACCGCTGCGTGGTGCTTTCCTCGCCGGTTGGTAAAAATAAATGGTATAACATTTTTTGAAACACCCTGTACTTTAGTTTTTAAATACCATGTATATAAAAGTCATCAACATCGTAACTTCGTAATTATCTTTGGATCGTTTGAAGTTCAATGCAATATTTTTAGACATCCTGTGTATAAAAACCTATTTGAAAAGTTATATTTTTTTCTTATGGAAAGATTCAAAAAGAAAGCTCCATAATGAAAATAGAATACGTTAAAAATAAAAATCCAAAGCTTTCAGGGATTCCATGGGAGATTCAAAAGTCGACCTCCGGGTTGCAATGTGACACTTACCGCTGAGCTATCTTCGCCTCTATACAGAGTTTGTCCGTATTAGTATTTGTATTCCTGTTCATAGCCGAAGTAAACAAACATTTTCGCAATGTTAAAAATTTTGTTTTTCTGCCATAAAATCGTCCGCGAAGGACTCGAAACGGTATAAAACATATAAATAATCGCCCATCGCTGTACTGGCGCCACGGGGAACATCGAAATCGACAATTCTAACGTTTTTACCGTTGTGATAGTTTGTATCAAAATATTCTTAATCTCGCCTTATATTTTGTTACATTTAACCTAATAAAAGTTGAGGTTGATATAGAAGAGACAACGTTGCGACGCGGCATCAGAAAAGTGTCCCGGTAGTGGAAAGGAGACGTCGCTGGGTTGCAGGAGCTGCTCGTATTCAAAGAGAAAAGATTCGGCTCCCTCTCGGAACAAAGCGCGAGTGCCGGCAGTATCCATAAAGAAAATTATGACACGCAAAAATTGCGTTTTGGGCGAAATAAATCGGGCTTTACAAAAATATTGGGGTTCCACGAGAGAGATGCAAGGTGCAGAACCTTTTTAAAAAGTAAATTTTGGCGTTAAAAAGTAAAAAATATCCTTCGAAAACGTCCCGTGGAGACGAAGAAAGGACGAAACTCACACATAGAAGCTGAGTAAAGCCTTGATGAAAAAAAGCATGTAGCATTTGAAATCGACCCTCAAAACGTCCGTCGGTGGGCGTTCCTGTCGGGTTCTGTCTCTCTCTCACAGCGGAAATTTGCGTTTTTGGCCACAGAGCCCCCGGAAAAATGAAATTTCATTCGGAAGACATTAAGAAATGCCTTCAAAATATGCCAAACGGATAAAGCAAGGACGATGAGATCGGTGCGGGAGTGAAAACCACCTGCAGCAATTAATATATCAGAATGTATATCCAATGTTCTTATCTTTTGTAATATTAGCTATACCTTTGAGGAAGATTTAAAATAAAGCAAAACGTTGGCCTAGTAAGGAAATAAAACTTATTTCTTTGCCTTATTATTGATACTATGGTTGTTTGCACAAAAATTTTAAAGGCGCGAAAGTATTTTAGTCTCTTTTTGATTTTAATTGAAATTATCTCCTACAGATGTGGTGTCCTCCGACGCCTCCCCAACAAGAAGGGGACATTTATGTAGACCAAACAATGTCCTTCTTGTATGACATGAACATCATGTCGGAATCCCAACTACCTCCAATATACGTTAAAAGAGAAGCCAAGCGAAATCGTCTGGAAGCTGGTCTGGTAGACAGCCGAAGAGCTATGAAAATCCCTCGGAAGGAAGAGTCCACCAACGCTCCAAAATCCCTCTTCCATTCCGCGACTATACTGAAAATGCGCAGGGAAATCAAACTGCAAAAGTATCGTGGTCTGGTGCGGCCTTCAATCCCGTTACCTGGCAAGTCGGGCATGCAGAAACCGCTCGTAGAACAACCGTTGTTCCACGAATGGACCATTCACGAAGACATGGCATTGTTGAAAGTCATCCAAAGCTTCCAAGGGTTGCCTCTGAATCTGATAATGAAAAATCCGGGACACACGCCCAATTGGGATTTTGTTTCCGACTATGTGAACACCGTGTCTATTACTTACCGGTCGCCTAAGCAGTGTCGCCAAAGATACGAATCGCACCTCATGCAAAGGGAGGAGGGCAAACAACTAGGTCTGGACAGCACACTGAAGAAGAAAAAGAACAAGGCTGGGAGTCTTCCAAAGTTTGCCATGCAGACGAAATCAAACCGTCCAATGCGTACTTCTCAGATGTACACCCAAGACAACAATTCGACCTTCTCCCAGGTAATGGTGGAGAGGTTCGAGGCGCTGAAGAGTATCGCCAACAAACGAATGCCGACCAGCAGAGCAGTAGTTAACAATCCCCTGATGAACAAGTCCAAGCACACACCTGTATTAAACGACTGCGGCATAGACTTGGACCACCCCGTGTTACCGGTAGAGGTCGCAGCGAGGCGAGCCGAGCGTATTGCCAAAGAGAAGAAGACCATGACTCCAGAGCAGCAGATCGCCGCAAGGCTGCAGATGATGAAGGGCATCATGGCCAATCAGCAACAGAATGCGACCGCCACATCGTCAACTAGCAGCCAAGTTGTTGCGTCTACTTCCTCGGTACCTGTAGTGGCGTCTGCTGGTATGCAGATTGTTGTGTCACAGAGTCCTGCCGTTACTACTGTGAGCGGTGCGACGGTTCAGAGTGCACCCGGAACTCCACCAAGTAAGTCGTTTTCAATTTTTTTACTTCACTTGTTGAAAATTAGGCACATATTTGTATCATTTTTAAATATTCTCCTCGAAGCTTTTAATTTTGAGTAAATTAAAATATGAATTTTTTTTAAGATTTTAAAATCAAAATTCTAACTTAATTTATATGTTTTTTGATAAAATGTTCTTTATTTTGGTTTGCAGTGCAATGCAGCAGTAGTACTGTGCAATCCTGTAAAGTAAGAAAATAAAAAGCCCTAGATTTTATAAGTTAATTTTTTAACAAATCTTAAATTATTGTCCCATTGTTCCCCAGATAATAAAATTCCTTTTGTGTTTGGGTGTTAACTGGGACGTAAATGAAAAGACCATGTTCCGAAAAAAGTTGTGAGCTAATCTTGCACTTTTTACTAAATATGGGCGACACGCAATCATTTCCTCAAAGACTTGTGTTCAATTCATTCTGCTATTAAACCTGTTTTACATTTACTAATTTTTAATCCAAATGTCACAATTCACTATATTTGTGACACCTTTGTACACATTGCAGTAAATTGGTCAATATATTGGGCAAATTTGAAGGTACCATTTTTTAGAATAAAAATTATGGTAGCAAACCATCAGCCATAATAAATTTATAACTTAATACAGATTAATGTAACTACAATAACCTGGAGATGGGAATATTCCTGTTTATTGAGTATTCTCGGAAAACTTCTGTTGAAAATTTCCCATATTTTTTCTTTTATAAGATTTTATACCATTTCAGAAACACCAAATTGTTCCAAGATATTTTGCTAAATTGATTATTTCTCAACACCATCTAATGTTTTGGGTGATCCTAGCATCTGCAATAGTATTTAAAATCATTCTTAAATGAACAGACTAATAATTGCATAGAATTTAATTAATTATTCTTGTTTAAAAATATAAAGATGCTTGAGATTGTTGGCTATTTTTTTTAATCATAAGAGGGCAGGAATAAAAAAATTGGAAATATTTTCTTTATGATGTTGGTAAGTCAGTAAAAATTCCTAAAAACAACTCAATAAATTACTAGTCCTGTTGCCGTCTCCAATTTCCTGGCTAATTTATTGAAGTTATACTACGTTCACTTTACATATTTCGACGAAATAAACAATTGCACACAGTGCTGTAATCATAAAAGTAGATGGAACATTTAGGAAAATGGAAATGTTTCATGGAGTGTAAAACTCTAAAAATATCTTTATAAAAATAAAATTAAATTAAAAAAATTATCAGCTACACTACAGGCTGCTCTCATAGTTGAGTCATTTATTTTAACAGCTGGTAGAGCTCATAAAAAAAGTTGATTTACCAAAAATCGTTTATATTAAAGTTGTCAAATAAAGCAATTATTAACAATTACACAGGCCAACAAGGGAAAAATTCCAGAGATCAGACACTACGTTTCCGAAGGCATTTGGCGCGCTGAATCCGAATCTGGCCTCAGAATTGATCCATCACCCTAGGTTTCCGAGATATTCTAACCTAAAAGTGCAAAAAACACGTATTTTTGCTATTTTCAAAGTTATGTAACTTGGCGAAAAATTTTTTTTTCTCAGAACTGAAAATATCATTGGAAACTACTATCTTTCCCCTTCAAAACGCATTTTTTTATTTGTAAAAAGCTTTATTTTTCGCGGAGATATCGTCGATTAAAGATGATCAGTATAGCTACCTTATTAAACCATGGCTCGACCTATAACACAATATCACTAAGCGCTACGAGCCTTAGATGTCAGGAAGGTTAACCCCAAGCCCTGTAACTGAATAACACTAAGCGCTACAAGCCCTAACCACCAGGAAGGTTAATCCCAATAACCCAAATAACCCAATAACCCAATAACCCAATTGGTTCATTGAATATAGTAAATGATTGCTTTAAAATATAATAAGTGTATCATGACATTACTCAATATATTACAATATTTAGGATAACTAGTAACATTTCATGGACGATTAGGGCTCACAGCGCTTAGTGTTGTGGGGTTATAGGGCTTGGGATTAACGTTCCTAACAATTAGGGCTAGCAGCGCTCAGTGTTATGGGGTTAGCCATGATGTAATAATATAGCCATACTGGTCATCTTAAATTGACGATATCTCCGCGAAAAATAGAGCTTTTTCCAAATAAAAAAATGCGTTTTGAAGGGGAAAGATAGTCGTTTCCAATGATGTTTTCAGTTTTAAGAAAAAAATTTTTTTCGCCAAGTTACATAACCTTGAATATAGCAAAAGTACGTGTTTTTTGCACTTTTAGGTTAGAATATCTCGGAAACCTAGGGTGATGGATCAATTCTGAGTCCAGATTCGGATTCAGCGCGCCAAATGCCTTCGGAAGCGTAGTGTCTGATCTCTGGAATTTTTTTTTTTAAATTTTGTCGGCCTGTGTTATTTAAAGAAATTGAAATTTAAAAACTTTATAATACAAACCTGATTTATTGTCATTTTCGACCACTCCATTGTAAAAACATAAATTGTTTGTCTACTACTGATACCGGGTATGCCTTTTTTTTTGTAGTTGCTTTTCGATTTGATAGTGCTAAATAATTCGTACAGTAGTGTGTGATATTATTTTTGATTTGTGAGTGTTTTGTGCAATAAAAATGGCACATGTTTATGAAAACAATGAACTAGTGGACATAATATTAACTTACGGGGAGTGTCAACAAAATTCAGCCGCAGCATGTCGCTTGTATGTGGAAAGGTCTTCTTTACGAAATCATCCGGCTCAGTGAATGTTTTTAAATTTAGTTATAAGATAAATTGTTTGTTTACTAACATGGACCTTATGCTCGTTTTGGTCGTTTTCGACAATTTCTAAAATTTCTTTCTTGATTTCCACCATTTTGCGCGGAGGAGGTCTTCCAGCGTAACCTTCTTGTTGTCCCTTTAAATACCCTTTGTTGCGGAGTATAATAACTAAATTTACAAACATCTGCGGAGCCGGATGATTTCGTAAAAGAAACCTTTCCATGTACAAGCAATATGCTGCGGCTGCTATTTGTTGACACTTCCCGTAAGTTAATATTATGTCCACTAGTTCATTGTTTTCATAAACATGTACCATTTTTATTCAAACGGTCAAATAAAGTTTTATTATTTTTATAAATATAAATTAGAAAACGAAATATAGTGGACTTCAGTTATAACGACATTCAAGGGAGAGTGAAATCCCGACTTACTAAACATATGCAAATGCATAATGTAAACTCATTAAAAATCACCAAAATTTGCTAATAAATTAGAACTATTTCAATTGTCCCCAATTTCTTGACCAACTTCTTCAATTCATTGCATCAAAAAATGTGTAAAACAGATTTTCGAGATGATATATTAAATTTGAAATCAGTTGACATAAACTTTGAGGTTGTGGTGATAATTTCTTAGATTAATAAACACAATGAACTACGAATTATTACAAATATTTCAGACACCCTAAGAGCCCAAAGAATAATAGCCTCTCCAATTCAAACATCAACTGTCGTCTCAGTAGCGAGCTTAAATGCTCAACTGCAGGCTGCTACCCAACGCCTTATCGTTTCCGCTGGCACCGCTGGCCAAGGAAAAGCCGTAGTAGGTACGGCGACCGGAATGCAAAGTAAATCCATCAGCCCAGCACAACTCGCCATGATCAGACAAGCGTCTTTAAAGCAACAGTTGCGGTTGCATGCAGGAAACTTAGCCGCACAGGGAGTGAAAACTTCTACGGTTACGATAGGCGGGCAACAAGCCGTGGTGCAATTTACGCAGGCTCAACCCAGGGCGCAGTTCGTCAGGCAGAGTACGGTGACGGTGGGTGGTAAAACAGGTATCACGAGAACAGTGACGGAAGGGGAGGTCGCTCAATTGTTGAAGAAGCAACATCAGTTGCAGCAACAGCAGAAGGCGACGGCTGGTGGGTCGACCACCATACAGAACTTGTCTCCGCAAGTCTTGGCTCAGGCTATACAAGCGGGCACCTCAGGGGCGCCTGTTGCGACATTGGTGAAAGCAGTTTCTAACGCGGGAGGTAAGAAATTTTCTGTATTGTTGAGTTTGTCTCTGTGTTACCTGAATAGTTGAATCGATTGATATTTGGGCGTCAAAAGAGACATACATAGAAACTCATTTTCCACAAGCATTTTATAATATTCAAAATTATTTTGCTTACTAAAAATGAGTGACAGTTAAAATAGTATATGGTATTTCAGTTTTTTTACTTACTAATATGATTAAAATTTCATTCACCCAAACTGGAACACCCTTTATACCCAAAGAATATTAAAAAAAAAAATAAAGCAACATTTTAAAACACCTCCGATTCTAATTATAGGTACACAAACAGTTACGATTCCTGTGACGGGAGTAGCCCTTGCCACACAGGGCAAAACCATAACTCCCACCTTAAAGACGACCAATCCAAACCAGCTGAGGCATCTGCAGATACAACAGCAGCTGTTAGCCCAGAAGAAGCTGGGCGGACAAAAGTTGAGCATAGCTCAGGTTGGGGGGAAGAACAACGTCCAGACACAGTTGATCGTCGGATCGAAACCATTGTCTTCCACCATGACGGTGCAGCAGCTGCAACAAGTCATCAGGTCACCGCTGAACGTGTCGCAGGGGCAGGTTGTGCTGGCAAAGGGGCCGCCCAGGGTCATTCCTGTGAATACGGCGCAAGGAACTAAGCAGACCATTCAGGTTAGTGTTTTCTAGAAATTATGTACACGGAATGCTTCGTTAAGAATGGGATGCAGCTTCCCGAGGTTAAAATACAGGGATTGAGTCAATTGCGTAATTATATGTTGCCTAACATTAATGCCTGCATTTACAGTCCTTTGTTATATTACATCTTCTTCACTGTACCTTTTATTAGGTTAAAGAAGTATGAAATATTTTTGCCATATATTTTTCTACATAAAATTAATTTAAGACTTATAATGGACTAAAATAATAATTCGATGTGATAATCTACTTAATTCAAAAATGAGTCCTTTTCTGCGGTAAATATGGTTAGAAATGATTTTCAAATATAGAGGTGAAAAGTAGTACATATGTGAAATTTAAAAAACGAATTGGATTTATAATAAATTACATTTAAAATAAATAGTTTATGAGAATAAAGGGATTTTTGTAGGAACAGGGGTGTCAGACTTGAACTGATCCCTTCATAATGCAAAAATTTTTCAATTTCTATACCCCTTAAAACCGTACTGCACTGGATACCTTGGCAGGCAATGATTTATTACTTTGCATCGAATATGATCTTACTATGTAACGAAAAATGCCTAAATCTTGGCATCGCCAATATTAGTGATTCGTTTACAACGAACAGTAACGAACCATTATACTGTACCCTCTAGATTATGCGGTTGCTGATCGACTGGATAGAATCTCATGAAAAATTCACCAATCACAGCCGGTGAAATAATATTGTGTTTTATTGTAATCTTGATATTGTTTTATAATTTTACGAAAATTTAATTGCCAACATGAATTAAAATGAAATAAAATTACTGATCCATACAAAATTACTGATTGCGTGGCTTGTAAGCATTTATGAAGGCTCTGTATTAGTAAAATATTTTTATCATATAAATCATTCTTGTTTTATAATATAATTATGTTGATTATGTACCTATTGTATTCATTTCACCATTTTCACACAGTCTGAATTTTATCTAACACGACTTCCAAAGTATATAATTTTTAAATACACATTGCTTATTACACGCAACCTGGAGTAGTGGAAGGTCTCTGTAGACTAAGGTCGCTTAGCCTGCTATGCTTATCTGAATTAGCTGATTTATATAAGCTGTGTTGTAGCTACAGTAACTGTAAAGACAAATGCACAATTGATTATGTGATCCCAATACACAAACAATTCCAACTGATGACTCGTCAACAGAGTGAAATATTTGCATTGTCCCTTTCCTTGCGATTAAATAATATATATTTAAGCAGTGAGCTGCTATTATTGGCTGTTGTTGGCACTGCCATCTAGGCCACAGATATGCTATGAAATTGCTTATCTATTTAGTATCTCAATACAGTACATCATCGTTCCAAGATTATTTTGAGAAATTCCATTGAAATATAAAAACAAAAAATGTAATTATTATACTATTGATTTATATATCATTTAAATTATCCAATCAGAACAGTATTCACAAAACGTTATTCACAAATTTGCTATTATATGAACTTTGCTTAAAATACGTGCAGCTCAATCACTCTATTTTAACTTCTGAAATCTTCCTTTAATTACACAGGCCGACAATTTTCAGAACCAGAAACCGAACCTAGTGTACTCGAAAGATTTTGGTGCCCCGATTATGAATCCGAGCTCAGAATTGGCCCATCATCCTAGATTCTCGAGATACTCTTAACCTAAAAGTGGAAAAATCGCGGATTTTTGCTATATTCGGGATCAGATTACAACCTGAATTATTATTTTTTTCTAAAATTGTGTGAAACCATCTCAAAGTACCACTTACCGTTCTAAGTACACTTCGATTTTTGAAAATCTTTTTTTTCCATAGTGATACGATAGATTGAAGTTTCGTACTTCAGCGATTTCGTTACAACATGGAAATAAACAAAATTTATCCAAAAACGAGATACAGGGTACTTTATATGTTTCTTGAGTCGCTGAATTTGAAAACACCGGCGGACCTGCTGCTGAAAACACTACTATATGAAGCAGATACTTATGTATACAAGCTGTTACATTCGCTTGCTAAGCTCATGACAGGTTCATCATAATGCTATAATCTACGACAAGTTAACCTAAATGCGTAATAACCAGCGAGGGCTAAACAGCGCACTAAAGGTCAACCTCTAGCGGGTTCAGCGCTCGCAGGTTACTGCGCATTTAGGTTAACCTGTCGTGGTTTCAGCAGCAGGTCTGCCAGTGTTTTCAAATTCAGCGACTCAAGAAACATAAGTATTTTGTATCTCGTTTTTGGATAAATTTTGTTCATTTCCATGTAATGAAATCACTGAAGTACCAAACTTCAATCTATCATATCTCTATGGAAAAAAGATTTTCAAAAAAATTAAAAGTGCACTTAGAAGGGTAAGAGTGGTACTTTGAGATGGTTTCATGCAATTTTAGAAAAAAAATTAATTCAAGTTGTAATCTAACCCCGAATATAATGAAAATCCGCGATTTTTGCACTTTTAAGTTAGAATATCTCGAAAACCTAGAGCGATGGGCCAGTTCTGAGCTCGGATTCATAATCAGCGCACCAAAATCCTTCGGATACACTAGATATAGTCTCTGGTTCTGGAGTTTCGTAAAATTTCGACGGCCTGCGTCATTCATTATGAAACTCAATGTATATTTTTAGGTTAATTATTTCTGATATTTAATTTTATTAATTAATGTAAATGTTTGTCTCCGTGTTACCTGAATATTTAAATCTGTTGATATTTAGGCGTCAAGTGAGACATACATTAAAACCTATTTTCCACATGCAATTTATTTCTTTTATAATTTTGCTTACTATAAATAGGTAACAGCTTCTATGTTTTGTTCTAAAAAATTAAATGCCTTCTGAATGTGAGGAGAGTCTAGTTTACATCCTCACTAAAGATGTCTATCATGAAAATATCGAAAATGGTGAAAGCTACAAGGTAGCTCAAACTAGAAAAAAGTTGCCCCATTAGAAGAGCATTGAAATGGCATAAGCAAATCTCAGATTTTTTTTTTAGTTTTATTAAAAATAGCCAAAATTAAAAATACATCATGACAAACCAAAACGCAACATTTTTATGATAAAATTTATAAAAAATGGATATGATGTTTTATTTTTACTATATCTTTGATGAGAAAAAAATATATCAATACTTAGTTTTCTCAAGATATCTCGAGAATGAAAAAACATCTGAAATCTGTTTATGGCACTTTCAATGTCTGGTAATTATGCAACTCTTATTAATTTAAGCTACCCTGTATCTTTTACCATTTTCAATACCTCCATGAGACAATCCTTACCACACATGATACAGCGACTTTAAACTGGAATGTATTTTTATTTCAAAAGGTGGTGGCCGCGTCAAGCCCAGCCTTGACCACTGCCCTTCGTCCTCAAGGGCAGTCCACCTTAGCCGGAGCTCTGGCGGGAATAAAGGTCCAAGGCACCACCACCACCGCTCAACAGGCGTTACTATCTCAGGTATCCGCAGCACTGAATCAAAATGTCAGCGTTAGACAAGGGAGTCCGGTCCGAATTCAAACTGCCAGCGGCACACCCCTAGTAGCAGTGAGCGTTCACAATGTCCAACAACAGAGTTCATTGCCTCAAACGACCAATCCAGATCAAGTAAGTAGGTTCTTGAAGAAGTGAAAATTATGTGACGTCCTTTTTGTGTCGGTTTTAGTTCTTTTTTCTTAAGTTTTAATCAAAGACACTTAATGTTTTGTTTTCCGATGTACATTTTTAATAGCTAGTTCTTTCATTTTTTTTTTGTAACCTTATTAATGTCCTACTCAAAAAAAACCTGTGCTGTGATACTGAAAAACAATATTTCGTAGAAATGTCTTCACAGAAGTATTAAAGTTATTTAATATAGCTGCATTTTGTTTGTTTGCTTTGGTTTTGCGTCGTAACCAAATAAAAAAGTATATTATTAAACATTATTCATTTGTACTTTGTAGTTACGAAGCAAAACATTTTTAATTGTACATATTTTGTATAAAAGTGTACTTTAGTTTCTTGAAAAATAAATTATAATTTTGATAATTTCTTTGTTTTATTTTTGCATGGTTTTGTTATTAAACTGATTAAGCGTTATTCTAAATAATTTTCGAATGTTTTTCAGGAATAAATTGTCTTCTGAGAAGATATGTAATTAATAGTAAATATTGTACAGGAAATAAAGTTTTTTGGAAAAACTCACCTTAATTTATTTCAAAGTGGCGCCACCTAAGGTAGGTTTTTGGTAAATGTCTAATGAAAAGTACAAGAAATAGCTATCTGTAGTAAATATTTTCATAATACAGGTGGTATAGTTATATGTTTACTAGAGTAGGCCGAAAAAATTTAAAATATTCTTTTTTCAAGTAGTAATACCGCGAAAAGGACTAAAACGCCCAAAAAAAATCGGTCTCCCGTCACGCATGTGCTCTAAAGTTTACCAGAATTTGGAAAACACATCTTTACGATAATATCTTAATCTTACTAGTAAATATTTAAATGTAAAAGCTCTAGTCTACTCTTACTGGCACCGATAATGATTTAGAAAAGAGAATTGTTCAAATAGGTTGTATTCCGCTCATGCAACAGCCGAAGTCCAACACCTGAACTTCAAGAAATAGTTGTATTTATTTTGGAGTCATACATGCCAATGTGGTTTAGAATTAAAACAAGTGAATGCTTTACAGAAGAACCAAAACTTGTACCAATACAGCCTTCAAGGTACCTACCTGAAGATTTACGTAATATTATTGACCCTGTGTTACCCCTGTTAGTAATGATACAACATAATAGAAAACATATAAGAGAGCTACGATTTTAACGAATTCTAAAGGCGAGAGTTAAATCGAAAGAGAACTATCAGGACATTCAAGCCGCCAAAACTTAATTTCGAGGCTCAAGACTACTCGGATATAATTAACTGGATAGACTGATTTATCTTCTCAATTATTAAAATATATTATTAATTATTCAATTTCTAAAACCCTTAAAAGCGTATTGCACTGAATCCCTTGACAGGCAATGATTTATTAATTTGCATCGAATATGATCCTACTAGTTTGAGTCTAGGGATGGTTTTATCAAAACGACTCTGCTGTCCACGCAACCATGTCTAACTTCACCCATAAATCAGATTTCAAAAGAAAAGAAAAATGAGTGAAAATAGAGATGTTCAATTTTTCAACACGAGTTTCTCGGACTTACGACTCTTCACACAAAAACTTAGTTTTTTTCAATAACAAAAAGTAATGTGTAATATAAATATTACTAATGGTTAAAATAATTTGTTTTTAAACATTTACTTGTATTCAATAAAGAGAACAAACAAAATGTAAATTGTTAGTATTTTTTCCTTGAACTACCTATATTTGTAACTTTTTTCAAAACTTCATTAACTTCGAAGGAAATGTGCGACTGGAAGTTGTTGATGGATTTAAATAATATTGAAACATTATTTTCTGTGGTTAGAATACATAAGAATTCCAAATTTTGGTAAGCTTAGAGCACATGCGTGACTGGAGGATATAGACCAATTTTTTTTTGACGTATCCCCAATTTGCAACTTCTGCGGTTTTACGACTTGAAAAAAAAAAATTAATTTGGTCCATCCTAATGTTTACTAGTCATTGATAATATGAGTTGAATTTACTAAAGTGTCAACACAAATTCACCGAGGAAGAAAATAGAGACAAACTTAGCATCTTTACACTTTACTAAGGTTCAATTTACAGACAGGACAGAAAGTCAGATCTGGTCTCCATATAAACCAAGTAAAATCTAAGTACATTTTAAATTGACGTCGATACAATATTCATATATAATCGCATATAGGTAACGGTCAAATACAAGGTATTTCCTATATTAAAATATCTTTTTGTCTTGATATAATCTTACGTAGACACTTCGATTACATTTTAAATATTTCACATGATCATAAGCAGGTACGTGTTTCTCACATTAAATTAAAAGGCGAAATAATTTACTTAAATACTGACTATCTATCTCCTCTAATAAATTAAATATATCCATTTATATCTGCTATTAAAATTTACTTAATTCTACCTGTAGGATTTTAAAAGGAGAAATTTTCTAAGTGGGAAACAATTATTGCATGTTCTCGCTAACAACATTGAGGAAAGGAAAAATTACTAAGTACTGTGTATATATAAAATCAAAATACTAAATAAAATACGTAATTTATCACACTCAAGCTTTTCCGTTCATGGTAGGCTTCACATTGGTGTCTTCATGCTTGTACCTGTAAGACTGCTTGCAATCGATTCCGTTTGTGTGACCGTTAACATTCACGATTTCTGTGCAAGGAGTATCCTCTGGTCCTAAAACCATATAATATATTCAAATACAAGATGATTTCACTTTAAATATTGAAATTTGCATGATGCTATCCAAAATCTACCGAGTGTATAGAACTATTTTTTGGAAATATGCGCTGTCTAAGACCTATTTCTGTTTTTAATTAAGGTAATTCAAGTAAATTTGCTGTGTTCGCTAATGGTCCCTTTATGTTCTTAATGAAAAGCTTCACTTCAAAAAAGTAACATAAGAAAAAACAAAGTAGCTCACAAACACAACAGTATATACATTAGATTTAAAGGACACGAGAATCCTAATTGTTGACAGGGACCACAATTTTAGGGCAAATTAAGCCGTTGACGGCCCGGCGCAGTGGAATCGACACCATCAAATCTAAGAGAGGTAACTCAAAATGAGGCAATTTGCCGCTTAAATTGTTATAATAGAGTAACAAAAGTAATAAATGTTATAAACAATAATGATAAATGCGTAATTAGTCAGATTTGAAGGCACTGATAGCACTGCCCCCTGGATCTTGACAGCCTACAAACATCAAAATTTTTATTTAAAAATTTGAATAATATTTACATATGTCAGGTAGGTATGTGTTTAATATATAGACTTACAATTTTTAATTCTTATTTTAGAAAAGTATTAATTACTAGGTAAAAGTATAAACTTCTCATTTATAAATCGTAACAAATTTCACTCAAATATGTGAATAGATACAGGAAAAAAATGTTCACTATTTTGAATATTTTAATGTTGTGTATCTTGGAAATTAAACAAAAAAAGCAGTTCGCTCCCACAAAAAACAAACAATATAGTGCATGACAAATTTTTGGACAGTACAAATCAAATTTATTCTATCATTCTCTTAATTTTCTTACATAAATTTAATTCAAAACTGTTTTTCCTTAGATGCAACAAGATCAACTAATTTCAATACCAGTTAATTATTGTTCTGCATCTTGAAAATTAAACAAAAGTTTATGGAGCAAAAAATCATCTTATATAGGTAATTATATGTATTTGTAAAAATAAACATACCTATTATTGACTTGTAAAATTTTTTGGATGTTTTCCAGTCTTCTCTTAAGGACAAATTGTACATCGAATAGTCTGGATTTCCAGTTACTTCTTTTTTTATGTTAAGAAAAGATGGTAATGTTTTCAGCAACTCTTCATCTCCTAAGGCTGAATATGTTTCCAAAAGTATCAATCCTTTGCACCTGAAAAATAAAAAATGCTGATTTCTCTATGTGGCTGATCAGTTCAGAATTACATCCAAATAAAAACTGAAAATAATTTTTTGTTTCTGCAAATTTGCACATTCAAATTTTTTACAGCTTCTGAGAATCAGCTTGTACCTAACCTCAATGTAATGTACAAAACTGTATTCTCATAGAACAAATTTACAACTGTATTTTTTTGTGTATGACAAATTTTAATTTATTATTTTTATGCCAATACTTCTTGCTTCAATGATCAATGAATTCAAATACCAAAGCAAAAAAATGCTAATTTAAAACAGATTTGGAATTTGAAGAAGTGGGTCATGACATGATTGTTGGTTTTTGGTTTATACATCAATTGTTTTAGTTCAATGTTCAATATGGCACTTATGGCAGTTGTCAGTTAATATTTAGCATAAATCAATTTTATTTCAATGATTTGTAAGATAATTCACAAGATTCACAATTTCATGTTATCCCAAACGATAGAGTGGTGCAGTTCCTGTCGAACTATAGTGTTAACGATGTGGTTATGTTTAATTGCTCTGCTTTACATGTTTTTTGTGTTGTTCTTTAAAAGTTTGAGGTTGTACTATAAGAAAGAAAAAGGTGATGTTTTAATGTTACTATGTAATGCTATCGAGACGAATGATATTGTAGAATGTGTGAAACTATTAGAAGAACATCCCCACTACGTAAATAAGTACACAAAGGATGGATATACCCCTTTTTTAATTGCTTGTGCTAATGGAAATACTCAACTTGTTAAAATAATGTTAAAGAAAGGTAAAGATAATTTTCAACTTCCAAAGAATTAAAAAATCAATTAGTATATTTTACCTATTACTGTATTTTATTTAGGAGCAGATATAACACTGAAATCACTAAAAAAGGAATCGGCCTTCTACATCGCAACTTTCTATTATATTAAGAATCCTAAATTCAAAAATGCCACTTGTATCCGAGAACTATATTATGCTGGCGCTGATATAAATGAAGGCAACGAAAAACACCTAACTCCTTTACAAATGGCGGCTATGTTCGGACACACGGCCCTTGTAAAATGGCTTCTAACAAAGAATGCTTCTACTAGAACTATTCCGGATCCCTATGTCCTAGCTCGCATGCAGGGCCACCAAGACACTGCAAACCTTATTTGGAAATTCACCATGAATTTTTCACTGACTTACAAGTAGGAACCGAGCCCCCTTTTACTCAACTAATAAAGTTATGTAAGTACTGCGTGATTTATTTTATTTGGAAATATGAAATCATCAAAAAATATCATCTTTTTGTTTGCTATTTTAATTTCAAAAATGTTCCAACGAGTATTAAGTGGAAAAGAAAACTATTAAAGCAGGTGCGCAAATTATGAGATTCACGTGATTTTTCCTTGGCAAATTCCCAAACATAAATTATCTAATAATGGGAAATTTATTTGATAGGTGCTTCATGTACTCCTCCAAATTTATATGAATAAAAGACTAAAATAGCACCGCGTAATATAACCATATTGTTTTGAAAATACACAAAAAAATGTTAGTACAGCTGTGGACAAAAACTGTTTCAATCTAAAGTAGTGAAAGGTTGAAATTTTGACTATTTCAAAGGGGACGACCCGATGACCCCACTCAAATAGGAATTAATGTAAAGCCTGTATCTGACAATGCAATTTGGATGTGCCGACAAAATTGCAGGGATTTTGTTGTTGGGATAAAATTGCATGCTTTTTATCACACAATAGGACAACATTGCTGCACTTTGTTTAATTTGTAGTAGTGTTACCAACTGCGCATTTTGTTTAATAGCTGTTTTACACTGATAATTTATTGATGAATAAATTGACGAAGTTCTTCATGAATTAATTCACGAATTTATTGGTAAACAGTGTGGTTTTACACTGCTACAGACTTTGTCAAGTTTTTTGACGCATGAATCAGTTCTACCAACGAATCAAAGCAAATAAATTTCAAAAATGTCACCTTTCCACTCATAATTGTAGTGATACAACAGCGGTACCGTTTTGACACATATTATATAAATATTAGTGTTTGTAAGTAACAAATCAGTAAAAACAATGCAAAACTAGTACGACGCCACACAATTATTTACATATTCCAATAACATAACCTCATTACTGATCTGAGGCTGGAAATCTGTTGGGTTGGTACTTCCGAACTTCACGAAGAAATTGACGAAAATTAGAACATGCTCTAATTCGTCAAGAACTTGATGAATAAATTCATGAAGTTATTTGACAGCAATTTGGTGCATTACACTTGTCCAATTTCTTGATGAAGCGAATTCATGAATTAATTGATCAATAAATTGTCAATGTAAAACAGCTATCACATGTAAAATGTCTGAAAGTATTTTGTTGTAAACAATAAACTAGTACTTTTGATTCAGACAAAATATTGCAATGTATGAAAATTTTAAAATAAATTGCTGTATAGTTTTAATAATGGCTTCAACGGTGACTAACAACAGCCATAAATCAAGAAGATGGTGAGTTCGACCGTAGATTTTAAATGCTTTCGAGGCTATTTAAACCTTTCCACAGTTCTACCAACTATAAAATACGGGTTGGTAATAAGTAAATCTCTATAAAAGTAACTACAATCCCTGCAATTTTGTTGCATGGAATAGAGCATGTTCTAATTCATGCAATTCAGTTTCCGCAACAGAATTACTTAGTCTGATAAGAAAAATTTTGTGGATTTTATCACGGCAACCAAATTCTGCAACCACCAGACTGCCTCCACCTACTACAGAGTATTGAAAAATAGGGTAAATAAAATTCGACCGCATAACGTATTTATCAAGATTTAAGCTTTGTATTCTTTGTTTCCGAGATGTTTGATGTTAAAATTTTAAATAAAATGGAACATATATTTTTTCTCCGAAATAAATTATAAATCAAATGGACTGATTGAATATCAAAATACTCAGTGTTGTTGAAATTATGGAGTTTTTGGAGATGGTGGTTTCGTCTCCCAGTATCAAAAATATTTTCAAACATTTACTGATTAATATTCTTTTAAAACTTTAACATCCTGTATTTCGGAAACATAGTATTGTCAAACTCACACTCATGGATTTTTTCTTTTTTTGATGTGGCTGAATCTTTTGGTGATATCTTCATCATCCTATATTACAAGGTTTAATCAAAAAGTAACGGGAATTGTGAATTTTCTCAAAGTATTTATTTAATCTTCAATTTTTATCCCATCCCCTTCAAAGTAGTCCTACTCTGATATTATACACTTATTTCAACGTAATTTCCACTTTGAGAAACACTGATGCAACGCCTCCTTTGGCATCGGTTTGAGCACAGTTTGTGATTTTGTCTTTATCTCATCTATTGTTGAAAAACGTCCTTTTAGTATCCTTTTGAATTTGGGAAATAGGAAAGTCACAGGAGTTATGTCCAGAGAATAGGGTGGTTGCAGCATCATAACGTTGTGTTTCACCAAGAACTGTTGGATAAGCAAAGCGGTATGCACTGGTGCTTCGTCATGGTGCAAAATCCACGAGCTGTCTCTCATGTTCTTGTCAATTTCACCTGACTGAGTCATGCAAATTGCATAAAACTTGTAGGTAGTACTCCTTGTTAACTGTACAACTTGGCAGTAAAAATTCGTGAACTATTCCATTGTAGTCGAAGACAACGGTTAGAAGGACCTTCACATTTGACCACATCTCGCCTCATCTTCGATGTCTTCTTGGCCTTCCTGAAAACATTTTTACCATTGATATACTTGTGGCTGTGACATAGTATCGTCGTCAAAGGCCTTCTTTAACATTTTGAACGCTTCGCTGTGCTTAATTCCATTTTTAACACAAAATATCAGACAAACTCTCCGATCCCACATTTCGCCACACAAAAAATCGCCAAAAACACCAAGATAAGTCTTATTCATTCGCTCGCTAAACACAAACTAAGCGTGGCAGCTGCATAAAAATTGACAAGTACGTCACTGACAATGCTACCAATACGCAAAAAAAGAATCAACTTGATAGATAATATGCAACAAGTGCAATTTCAAAGTTCCTATTATTTTTTGATCAATCCTTGTATAACAATAATTTCCAATACCCATTCCTAAAGTTTAAAAAAATCGAAGTACTCTGTAGAATACAATAAAGGACTAATAAATTGAATCAAATTCTAAAATAATTAAGTTGCAATAATGACCCAATAATTATTAATAATTTTTAAATAGTATTACAATAACTAAACAAATGAAATATACTGGTGTTAAAACTGTGACTTCTTCCTATGATACCAAAAATGTGACTATTTGACTATAGCAAATCAAAAAATATTCAAAACAGATTAGCAGAATTAGGAGCTTAAACTGTGAATAGAAAGGTTTCATTTATACTGAACAGTAACCGTTGGAAACATTTTATAGTCCACAGCTGTACATTGTTAGATATTAAGTTTTATATAAGTTATAAGTACATACCTAGGATGGCTGGGCTGTTCGTAAATGTCCAGCTGGAAATACTGATTATTATCAATGAAGCATCTGCGTTTCTTGTAAATGGTGAAATGCGAATTGTCTTTTTGCGTCAATAAGTTGATGTAATCACGATGCGTTATCTGAGTCTTAACTTCAATCACCTGTCCTCCTGGTTGGTTCTGCCTCCTCACAGTGTGAATATAACTGTAATGACCTAAAATAAAGCCAAGTAAATATTCTATTTGTAGACTTGAAAAATAACGAGGTGAAATTTTTATTACTATGTGCTAAGGGGCTTGGTTAGGAAACAAAAATTAAGCTGCAAACACGAGTATATTTACCTTTCCCTGATACAAATCTACTCTTACCAATAGTTTCTGAGCCAATTCTGAGTGCGAAAATTTGAAACTTAAAAAGATTTCAAAACTTTATCTAAATTTAAGCAAATTAAAAATAAATAAGTACTACAATTTTGTGAAACTAGCTAAGTAGCCAAATGATATTTTTCATCGGGATATATCTAATTGGAAATACTTATTTTTTAATATATATCCTATACTGTAGATTAAATTAGTCCGCGTTATTGCCCTGAGTATACAGTTAGTAATAAACTGCTGGTAAGTAAAAGAATAAGACAGATTTCCATGTATTTCTCCATATATTTGAAAACAAATATAAATACAAACAAATTTAACAAAGGATTCCAAATTCAATATTCCATAAAACGAAATAAAACCACAATTTAAAACCTAACAAATCTAAAACTAAATTTACTGCCCTTAGAGATAGCGAGCTTTAGATAATTTCCGTCTCTCACCTTTTTGTCCCCGTTTACGCAGCCTGACTTGGTTCGGCGAGTTAGATTGTAAGTAGTTATGCACAACTTCGAAATCTTGGAAGGAGGGAAATACAGAATCGTCCGGCAAGGGGCCCTCCACGAGGAACTTGTGTTTGCGGGAGTTCTTGAGCAGTCTATCGCCGGTGTCGATGCCGATTTTGTGGCACACTGACACTATCATCCTTCTGATTTTACCTTCAAAGGCTGTTGAGTTGTCGATGACATCAAAGTATGGATGACCCACCCACGCGGCGGCTGCTTTTGAATCCAGTTCTAGAGCCAAGTCAACACTTTCTGAACGACAGTTGTGATCCTAAAATAATGGCCAATTTTCTTAGGAACATTTGAGGAGTTTTTTCTCAGACTACCTACCTCTGTTGAATAATACTCTTCTGCTCCCTTTGCTGCAGACACCATGTGGATAATTTGGTTGTATCTGTTATCCCTTAACTCTACGTTGTTCCAACTGTTGTCTTTCATAATGCTCTCCCACTTTTCTTTGGCTATAACTAGAGAACACAAAAAAATTAAATTCAGTAAAACAGGGTGTTTGGAAATAAATGAGTATTTCAAGAGTAATTTCTTTGAATAAAAATAAACCAATTTGTATCAAATTACCTTAGTAGAATTTTAATTATTTCTGTTAGCAGTTACAAGCTTTTAATACTTAAAATATCTTGAATGTAGTAAGTAAAAAAAACAATTATCAGTATTTAATTTAATTTAAAAAATATCCTTAATAAAATAAATTAATTTATGTAAAATTATTAAATAAGCAAAAAGCAAGTAAAAAGAAAAAATTATTTGAATATTAAAAACCAAAAATCATTTGTCATATTTAAATAACAGTTGTATTGTAGCCTTAAAAGTGACCTAAAAATAAGGTACATAATATAGTTCCCAAAACCAGTAGTGAAATAATTATCTGTTAATAAAAAGGATTCTGGGAAATTTTTTGAAAATTAGTAATGAACTTGCACTTGTTAATTTTGATCTTAGGTTGACATTATTACTATCATTATTTTCCTTAAAATTTTAATTTTTAGGAAATATTTTAAATAAATTTAATAAAAGGGAGTTTTTGTTGTACCTAGATTTTTTTACCTAAAACCTAGAAGTTGGTACCTAATAATATCATATCGGAAGCAGTAATTTACTCTTTTTTTGCAATTTTCCTTTTTTTATTGGTAGATGTTTTAAGAAAACGGATTATTTAGGAAATGTCACTTTATTTGATGTATGTTAAAATGCAGAGCTAAGTTTTTGAAGGTATCCTAATGTAAGATTTAAAACAATTTACAATTAGATACAAAACGTAAAAAAAATGAAAAAGGTATAATTTTAGCTAAAGAGTGAAAAATACCCTCAAATACTTGCTAACTTTGTAACTAAAAACGATAGTGGAAAATTATTATCTATTTCTCTCTATGGTATATTTTAGTGACATGTAGTAAGTATATCTTTTTTAGTCAATAAAGCAGTAGTTCTTAACCTGTGGACCGCGAAGCCCTGAGGGTCCGTCGTCTCCTCCCAAGTGGTCCTTGAAGTTTTTATAAACATTTAATCACTAATGACAACCAATTAAGAAGTTGCACTCTCCTATGTCACAGTGTAACTTGTTTATCTTTCCAAAATTTACGTTTGGTGTGAAATTTAGGATTAATATTTCAAACCCATTTAAATTGGGATGGGACTTATATCAAATTGTAGGTAATTGGGGGTCCGCAATAACAAAAAAATATTGAAAGGAGGTCCGCGGCAAACAAAAGGTTAAGAACCGCTGCAATAAAGAGGTTTTATAAAACATCTCTGTTTTCCCAAAATATCTACCAACTTTATAGTTTACATAAAAAATAATCTTATGTTGATTTTTGAGTTACCCCAAAGGCCCCTTATAACAAATTCCGTTAAATCATCTTAAAAACTATTAAAAAATATAAAATAAAAAATTGTTTGAATGCCCATAACTTTTTTAATTAAGCAAATTTGTACAAAGGTAACTTGATCTATATCTGTTTATTTTCATTCAAAACAGTTACCCTTGAAGCATAACTCCTCGTTTCCAAGCACCCTGTATAAATTCTAATGACAAATTTTCAACTTAAATGATTAATTATTATGCATATTAGAAGCACTTGAAGTGAATGAAATTGATGTTGTTGTACTTGACTAATTATAGAAGACATTTGGCTCAGAAATTTTGTTGTTCAACCATACAAATAGTGTTTTTAAGTCCAAGTAAACAATCTTTCATCAGCATACAAAAATAACGTAACTTAAGGTACTTTCTATTGGCATGCATTTTGCCACTTCGATAATTGAGTTTTTTGTAAAATATGTGTAATATCATGGACAGACAAATGTTTTAATAGTTATTCAATTGAATCAAAATTCCACGATATTTCGAGTAGTTAATTTTAGCCTCTTTTTTTGTACTAAAAAAAAAACAGGTTTAGTTTTGGTCTATGCTTACATGCTGAAGCGTCCATTGCTCCTCTATCACATATTATAAGACAGTTTCTTCTGCATGTTCTTCCCAGTTCAAAAAAGGTGTCCTCAATTTGGATCATAGTCTTCAAAAGATTTTCTTGAAATTTCACAGCTGCAACAAAAAAAATGTGGTCAAAATTTGCTGCATTAATTTGAAGATGGTCCAGTGACTAAAAACTCTTTCAATACTAATTTTTTTAGTAAGGAATTCATAGAATTGAATTTGTCTATAAATGAATTTTATAATTTTGCTTCATACTCTTAACAAGTATTCTTTAAAAGGTTAAATGTAAGAGAATAATTTGAAATACTTTACAATGTTCTGATAAAAATTATAAATCTGCAAACAAGAAATAATGAAATATAGGATTGGATCACTAGTTAAAAAATTAACCTTTTTAGCTGTTAGCGAAAAAGTCCCAAATATGTTCAGAGTTTGGGAATTTCATTCAGCAGATGTATTTAAGCTCTAGTCTTGCTGTAATAAATAACATTTTTACATGCGTGAACTTTTACAAATCAAACTCAAACATAAAAAGTAGAGATGTTAAATATTAATGATTAAAAAAGGGTTTTCTTAATTGTCATTAATTTTATGTTATATTATATTTATCTAATCTATCTTTGAATAGGTATAAAAAAATTACAGTAAAATCCAAGAATCTGTTTTGTTTTTGTAATGACTCAAACGTTTTATGGAATGGATTTAAGAAAGTGGCAATCATCTGGTTTTGAAAATTAATTAGGTACATTTTTCTTTTTATTTTAGAAACTACTTATTCACAATCCACTTACAAGAATGAACTGTTTCTTTCAACATTGACTAAATATTACAAAAGACTAATCGAAAATCCATAAATTTATTTAGTAAAAGAGATACAATTTATTTTATTATTAAAATATTTAACTCAAGATTTCCAGTTAAAACCACTGCTGATTAATTATATTTTGGCAAGGAAGCTGAACAAGTGTAAAATGATTAATATATTTATATTTAACAGGATAGGCAATTAAAAGTGCGGTTTTGATAAATTAGAAAAATCTGTGGCAACATATCACATTTAATTGCATGAATTTCACGGTCATGAATCTTAAAAGGTTTTTATTTTACAGGTTATTTAAAATTAATACACGCAGTTTTTTCTAGAAAATAAAAATTGAAAATACAAACATGTTTATTGATGAAATTATCATTATAGTATCTGTTTGGAAATGAAAGAGACCCCGAGATAAGAACCGGCCGTGGGCGTGCTAATATTTCGTTTCAGGTAATTATCGGGTAACACTAATGCTAACAGGTAATGGGTGTACATTAGTATATTTTACTGGATACATCATAGGGCAGGAGCCAGTGTATTGTGACAGATCAATCCAGTCTTAGAGCTGAATATACGAAGACGTGCTAGTGCAGTAGAGTAAAATTCGACTTGTGTTTAGTGACTATTGTGCCAGTGGATATAATATTGTTTGGGTAAAATGTCGAGCTTATCAGATTACGTACCTGCTAAACGCGTGAAAAGATGTGCGCTGTCTCAGAATGAGAAGATTATTATATTAAATGTATTTAATGCATTGAAACACCAAAATCCTACCAACAGTGTTGACGACATCGTGGAAAAGTGTTCCAAAATGACAGGGATTGGAAAATCGACTATCTACAGACTTTTAAAGGAAACAAAAAATGAACAAGATACTGTAAATCCCCCAAAATCATCTACAGGGAGGTCAAAAGTCGTTATAGATGATTTCTTCAAAAATGTCATTCGCAGAAAAGTACACTCATTTTATTTTAAAAAAGAAATACCAACGCTAAACAAAATTTTAAGTGAACTTTCAGAGGACAACGATTTGCCAAAAATCAGTAGAAGCAAATTATGGGCCGTCTTACGAGAGTTGAATTTTTGCTGGGAAAAGCAGAACAGGAAGTCAGTTCTTATCGATAAAGATGAAATTATTTGTTGGCGAAGATCCTACTTAAGATCAATTAGAAAATTCCGTGACGAAGGGAGGAATATTTATTATCTAGACGAAACTTGGGTCAACGAGGGATATACTGTAACAAAAGTATGGCAAGATAAAAATGTAAAAAGTTTTCGACAAGCATTTTTGGATGGACTTTCAACAGGGTTCAAGGCACCTTCAGGTAAAGGGCGAAGATTAATAGTGACACATATAGGTAGTGCCAGTGGTTTTGTAGATGGCGGTTTACTTTTATTTGAATCTAAAAATACAGGTGACTATCACGAAGACATGAACGCAGATGTTTTCGAAGAGTATTTTACACAGATGTTGGATCTTATTCCTCCGGGGTCTGTAATTGTCATGGATAATGCCAGTTACCATTCACGGCAGACCGAGCGGACGCCTACGACTGCTTGGAGGAAAGCCGATATAATTCAATGGTTATCCGGAAAAAACATTTCTTTTGAAACAAATATGGTGAAAAAGGAACTTTTGACACTTGTCAATCTTAATAAAGATCAGAAAAAATATGTTATCGATGAAATGGCAACAAATCGCCAAATAACGGTACTACGGTTACCACCTTATCACTGTGAACTTAACCCAATCGAATTAGTCTGGGCGCAGGTAAAAGGAGATGTAGCGCGAAATAATACGACGTTTAAATTAAGTGACGTGAAAATTTTGTTAAAAAATTCCTTGGAACGAGTAACTGCAGATAACTGGCAAAGATGTATACATCATGTACAAAAAGAAGAGGAGAAAATGTGGGAACTCGATAATTTAATTGACGTTACTGTGGAACCTATCGTTATCAATCTAGGAGACGAAGATAATTCATCAGAATATTCAGAGGATGAATTTTAATATACCTACTTTTTTATTTTCTTTATTGTACATTTATACAACACTACATTTACTCACCATAATTTGAATTTTCAAAATACATATATTTTTGTGTGGAATAAAAGTCTATTCATTAAATTTAAATAAATATTTTGATAATAATATTGAATAATTTTATTTGAATTACTAAAAACCCTCTTAACCCGGTTATGATGCTTAAAGTAGCCTCATGTTTTGAAATGCTGTTTTTATATTGTTTACTTATAAGAGAAATGGACCGAGAAATTGAAGCGGCATAGACAAAGGCGGATTGTCGGGGATTAAATTTTAGCTACCTGCTACAATTTAGTACAGTCCGATCGCACAAAGTTTTGTTAAAAGTAGACCTCATCTATACGGAAAATACATAATATAAAAATATTGAATATAAGCACCAGTACTACATTTATTTACGATTTGCATACATAATGAGCTTTTATTACTCTCTTTCATTTCTAAACAGAATTTATAATTGAATTATGCATCATAATACCATTGTGACAAAAACGTTAAAATAGCACACCCCGCACACATCTTGAGTTCTTGCGATACGTGTATAGACTCAATAATCATAAAATTTCAAATAATTTTATTAACCACATAAGTCCTAATCTATAAAACGTAATAAACTCTATAACCAACATTATATATTAGCCAATTTCTGTTGCGTGACTAAAATGGAACATAGTATTTTAGTGATGATTATTAAAAACCAAATCAATCCAGTTCTGGAAACTACATGACGTGATACACAACAATCTTACATCACAAATGAGTCAATAAATTGGGGGAAAAATTACCATTGCTTAGACGTAGCTCAAAGAAAATTTCCAGTTTATGGATTTCCATTTAAACTAGTCTACTGCAGTCTATTAGTTATTACCTTGAATATAATCGAATAGATCTACAGTATTATTATATAAGTCTAATGAAAATCCGTACAGCCAGACTTGTACACAATGAGTTGTGTTAAAGGGTTAGCTAATTACTCAAAACTATGAGGCACTAGCGGAGTACATAGCTCACCCTCGCTACGTGCAGATTCATCGCCATAGTCCTGAATTTTGGGACGGAGGCCTTGGGCTAAATAACGAAAAAAATTAAAATATGCCTGAGACGTCTTCTTTTACAATTCATAGTTTCGTAATCCATGAGGGCCTAAAACTGAACCCTGACGGGCACCAAGTTAAAGATACCCATTTTAAGTTGCTTGTTTTTAATGAGTTAAATTATGTAAGTGTGTACATAATTACATTAATTGTTAAAATCAAAAATTTATATTTTATATAAAATATTTAAGTATAAACTATTAACCTTTTGTATGTATGGTGTATGGATAAGGTGATGTGTGATGTGTACAGGATAGAGATATCAGAGTAATACGTATTTTTCAACAAAAAAGAATATAATTAATAATTATTTACTTTGTTTTCTAGGTAATTGATAAAATTATCGATTGAAGTATTCTAGTATTAACACAATCATTGTACATAAAAACTGTTTTGTAGATAATATACCGACACACTAATATTGCTATATAATGACATTTCATTTGCCAAACAAAAACAATGACAGAAAAGATACGCTACGCTCTTGCTGATAATAAACTTTACGCGCTATCAAGGTCAAACATAAATAGATAAAGGCAAGGGATACGTACAGGGGGCAATATTTTCTTAATCACACGGGACAGATGTGTTTATGACAATTTTCAAGCGGCCAAAAACTTCTGGCAAAATTCCAGTCGTTATGCGATAAGCTACCAATGCCGAATAAAAACCTTGGCGGTTCTAACAAAAATTAATTAGTCCCAATTACTAAATAGTCTAGTTAACTACTAGTATTTGGTATTCGACGCGTTTGTTTATTAAAATGAGATTAGGTTTTTATCCACTTAAATTTTGAGAACTTTCCCAAACTTTAAGCCGAAATAAACTTGACAGTCCCTAACTAAACATGTGACGTTTATATTTAATGCGCATTTAAGATAATAGTAACCCTTAAGCTTGCGTTACTACGCCTATGTTTCTGTAGCACTAATCTCCCGCCTCTGGCGAACTCTAAATGCCTTTTCAGCTAAAAATACGCCCGCAATTTTGATGGTCTGCCAGGATTTCTGAATTTGTATCAGGAACTGACCTCCCTATCTAATATGGATTGAGTTTAGGTGTACGGAAATAAATTTCCTAGGACACACCTATTTTTCTGTATAGGCTAAATAGTCAAAAAATTGAATTGGAAATACATTAAATCAAATGAAAGTCTCAAAATGATCCCCAGATATGGAAATTAAATCGCTAGATTACAATCTTTGACTTTTTTTATCATCTTTAGCATCTGATAAATGTTATCCAGTTTTTAATCTAATTCTTGGTTTGGCTGTTCATTCAAAACATAAATCTAAAAATGCGAAGACGAGCAGATGCGTCAAAAAGGTGCCGATTCGATGGTTTTGAAATTTAGCCTAAGCAATAAAATTTTACGGTTCAGACAGAACAGTCTCGTTCCCGAAATAACAAAACAAAAAAAAATCACGAGTTGTTACGTAACTGGACTTCGATCGGTAAACAAGGCAAATCACGCCTGGGAATAAAAATAATATTTTACTTTTTGTTTACCTTTAAATGTAACGTAAACATCATACTTGAAAATGAAGGCGCCCAACAATTCACCCTGTATACAGGATATTTATTTATAACTTATTTTTTAGGTTATTAAATCGTATTCTTCCTCCTAGATTTATTTAATAGATACAGGAAACTTCTTACTTTTGTCTATCGATTTGTTTGAAGAACTTTTTAATTTATTTAAAGACCCGCCCGTTGGGAAATATTTTAGATGTTTTTCCAATGTCAGTATTTCCTCCTTTTGATTATCAGAATTTCCACTGAAAAGCCGCTCCAACATGCAGTTTTTTTACATTTATGTCACACTTCCATTGTACAGGGTGATTCAAATAAAATTTCTTGATAAAGGAAAGAGATTTTTTGATTATGTAACAGTGAATTGATAAAGCTTCTCGATGACATAAATTAAAAGTTCAAAAATAATTTTTGCAAAGCAAATCTTGTCGAAAGAAATTATTTTTTCAATAACAACAATAACTTTGAAAATTTATTGTTGTTTGAAATAGTAATTCAACTATTTTTTTAGCGTTTAACATTATTGCGAGTTTCGATTATAATTAACTTCTGCTGAATTTTTGATTTTTTTATATGTACATAATTAGTCCAAAATTAAATGGTAACATAGACAAACGCTTTGCAAAATTTCCGCGAAAGAAAGATTTACATATTTTCATTCCAGAGCTATCTTCGATTTGCTTTTAAAAAATTGTATGTGACTTCATCCAGGAACTGTAGAAACTGCCTTTTACAGAATAAAATAAATCTTTCCGTTTTCAAGTTTTCAGACTGAAGTTTTTTTTTAAATCACCCTGTATACAACTCTAGTCTTCTAAAACAAAATACTGTATAAACTAATGCAAAAAATTAAAAGGCCAAAAGAATTTCCGAAATTTTTCCGTGATTTTTGACAGACTGTATTTAGGTGAAAAAATGGTCCTATCGGGAATTAAAAAAAAGCATTTTGAAGCTCTCAGATTTTAGTTTTTAGATCTTTCGGTCGAAATTTTTTGTAGCTACGGTTATCATGCAATTCTAAGAAATATCGCGACAGAAAATATTGCAATTTTTTTATTTTCCAAAATTTTTTTCAGCTTTTACACGAATTAAAAAAAAACAGGAAAAAAGGATAACTTATGGTTTTTTAGAAAATTGATTGATTGGCTAAATTAGAAATATGTATTCATTTAATGCCTAATGCATGACATGACTTTTACAGTTCGATATACCCAGAAGAACCCTGTGAAATTTCATAAAGAATTTTTATTTTTATCATTTTGAAAAAAATTAAAGAGTCACATTTTTTGAGCTTAAACACTTCATACTCATGATTAAAATGTAAAAAAAAATTTTTTAGGTTTTCTCATATTTTTACCGCAAATAACGTTTAAATTGATCTTTTTATTTGGAAAACCTTCCGGACATTGAAGAAAACAAAATCCAATTGTTTCTAGCACGTTTCGGTTTTTCCGTCCTATGCTTCTGTTCATCAACTTTTAATTAAATTAAAATTAAAGCTGATAACCCAAACCAGATTTCGACCCTGATTCATACCGTTTTTTGAGACAAATTTCTAATTAATTTTTGTGCAGTCTGTAATGACTTAAAAACATTTTTTTTCAAAACTACCCTTTTTCTTCTTTTTTTTTTCATCAATTTAAACGTTAAGTATTTACGGTAAAACTGTGACAAAACCTCAAACTATTTTTTTTCCATTTTAATCATGATTATGAAGTTTAAGCTCAAAAAATGAGACCCTTTAATTTTTTTCAAAAGTTTGACTGTTTGAAACAAAGAAACGGTTCGCTAGGTCGAGATGAAACTTCACAGGGTTCTTCTGGATATATCGAACTATAAAAGTCATACTTAATATTAGTCATTTCGTGAATGTTTCTAATTTAGCCGTAAATTTTCTAAGAAAACCACCCTTTTTTTACTGTTTTTAAAGGATAAAAAAAAAATAATATTCCGAAAAGTTGCGGCAGCATGTTATAGGAATTTTAATCCAGTTTTCGAAACTGCCCTTCAATTCTCTGTACGATCATTTGTCGCCGAGATATCGATGACTGAAAACAAAAGAATCCTTTTCCATTAAGTCAGATATTTCGATGAAAAATGGTCGTATCGAAATTTTAAAAAAAAGGAAATTGAAGCTGAATAAACAACCAAACAGGTCCATGGCTTAGCTGAAAAAAATTTTTCCAAGTCCGTGGAAAAAAAAAATAAAAGAAATTTTTTGTCGCGCTATTTAGAATTGCATAATCGTAGTTCCTAAAAAATTTCGACCGAAAGATGTAAAAACTTCAAAATGTTTTTTTTATTTCCCGATACGACCATTTTTCACCTAAATAAAGTCTGCCAAAAATCACGGAAAAATTTCGAAAATGCTTGTGGAAAAGAATTGATTTATTTTTTAATTTGCCGCGAGTCTGTTCCGCCCTTTCTCGTGAAATTTTTTCACACTGTTTCCATATAGTTTTTCAAATAAAATAGTAGCAAAACAGTATACTCGTATAAAAGTATTTTTTCCCAAAACACCATTTTCTGCATACACTGTTTTAGATTTGCAGGTAGGGTTGGCAAAGGTATTATACCAAATGGTATAATTAGTTTGATACTTTGTATTATACTTTGTATTTAACTTAACTAGTATTATACCAAATTGTATTAAACCGTTAAATACAAAAAAGTTTTATACTAGGTATGTAAGTACAAAACTTTATACCAGCTAAACGAGCCCGGACAGGAACAGGGTATACATTACAAATAATAAGATAGTAAGAGATTCATCTGTAGGGTAGGAACTGAAGGTGGTCTGCGGATTGAAGGGACAGAGCGGTGATATTGTGAGCTCCTGGTGGTGTCTCGTGTCGACAGAAAATATTTAACTTGGCTCTCCCTCTTTTCTCTATGTACGGTATTATGTACTTAGTTTACTTATGTTTATGTTTTGGGTTTGTTTGCGCGAATATACTTTTCAAGTTTTGTTTTTACAAATTTAAGATTTTTTAAGAATCATTGTTCATGTTTTTGGTTTCTTTTATTGAATACCTAAACATTAAGTTTCGTTAATACAAATTTATTTTATAGCAAAAAGTCCCTACCAATTTTTTGAGTACTAGGTATAATACTTTTAGTATAATAAGGTATAAAACTTGGTATAAAACTAGTGAAAGTTAAATACCAAATTTTGCCAACCCTATTTGCAGGTATAATAAGACCTACGACTTGTCTATATTTCAAATGACTAAATTGTAGCAATAAATCTGTTGTATGACGTAGCGCAATGCGCATTTTTCATCAATAAATATCGCCAACTGATTGTAAATACAGACACTCGTGACATCAAATTAATTGAAGATACGACTGGAAGTAACCGGTCATGTTTAGTGAATATGCGACGGTTGAGATTCAATTAATAATAATGAAGAGAACACGCGAGAATTGCATGAAAAATCC